CCTTCTCCAAGAGCGCCTTGGCTATTCTTGACCTTTGTATTTCAGTGTCAGTTTGAGAATTAGCTTGTCAAATGCCAATTCTGGTTTCTGGCCGTTCTGCTTCATTGCATGAAATATATCATGCCACTCCCTTCTGGCCTGTAAGGTTTCTGCTGTGAACAAAACAAACAGACCAGAAAACATCCAAAAAGACATACCTGTTGTGATTTTTATTGTCATTGCTTTGAACAGTTTAGAAATTAACTTCCTAGCATTATGGAGCCTTGTAGCACATGGCCATTATATGTACCTATACTGATTTGAGTAGTTTTCACTTCATCTCAATAATATTTTATAATTTTCTGTAGGGAGACTTTATGTAGTTTTTGTTAACACTTTATCTTAGGTATGTGGCATGTTTATTTTAATCTTATTGTAAAATCATGTAAAATTTTTTATTTGTTTTTTATTGCTGGTATACAGAAATCAACTGATGTTTGTATATTGTTTTATCTCACAACCTTGCTGATTTCAACTGTAAAAGATTCATAGTTCATACAGCCATGCATCTTTGAATGATGAGTTTTGTTTCTATTTGTTTTACCCCTTGCTGCCTCTGATGTAATAGCTGAGGCTCTCGGTAAGGAGGCAGGTTTACTCCCTGACCTGCCTCTTGCCTCAGAGAGAAAGCTTTCAATACATGACCATTATATCTCCTGGAGGATTATTAAAAGTGCCCTTCATCACACTAGGGAAGTTTCCTTTTATTCTGAATTGTAGATTTTTTAAATCATTTAAAATCCTAAGTGATTATTAAATCTGTTTTACATTTTTTCCCTGATAAAATGTTAATGGGTCAAAAGAAACAGAGACAATGCTAGGAACAGAAGAAAACTCCCAAGGAATTAGAATTAATGTCCTTAGAAACTTACATCCATGAGATAAAACCAACATATTTTAGATAAGAATAATCAGAGAAGAAAAGAAAGAGCTCTTAGAAATTACACATATGATTAGCCAAAATTATAATGTTACTAAAATGACCAAAACTAGGACAAAAAAGAAGAGGTAAAATGGATGTGAAAAGATAAGAAAATTAGAAAATCACTTCTCGTAGTCCTTGTATTTCAGTGTCAGTTTGAGAATTAGCTTGTCAAATGCCAATTCTGGTTTCTGGCCGTTCTGCTTCATTGCATGAAATATATCATGCCACTCCCTTCTGGCCTGTAAGGTTTCTGCTGTGAACAAAACAAACAGACCAGAAAACATCCAAAAAGACATACCTGTTGTGATTTTTATTGTCATTGCTTTGAACAGTTTAGAAATTAACTTCCTAGCATTATGGAGCCTTGTAGCACATGGCCATTATATGTACCTATACTGATTTGAGTAGTTTTCACTTCATCTCAATAATATTTTATAATTTTCTGTAGGGAGACTTTATGTAGTTTTTGTTAACACTTTATCTTAGGTATGTGGCATGTTTATTTTAATCTTATTGTAAAATCATGTAAAATTTTTTATTTGTTTTTTATTGCTGGTATACAGAAATCAACTGATGTTTGTATATTGTTTTATCTCACAACCTTGCTGATTTCAACTGTAAAAGATTCATAGTTCATACAGCCATGCATCTTTGAATGATGAGTTTTGTTTCTATTTGTTTTACCCCTTGCTGCCTCTGATGTAATAGCTGAGGCTCTCGGTAAGGAGGCAGGTTTACTCCCTGACCTGCCTCTTGCCTCAGAGAGAAAGCTTTCAATACATGACCATTATATCTCCTGGAGGATTATTAAAAGTGCCCTTCATCACACTAGGGAAGTTTCCTTTTATTCTGAATTGTAGATTTTTTAAATCATTTAAAATCCTAAGTGATTATTAAATCTGTTTTACATTTTTTCCCTGATAAAATGTTAATGGGTCAAAAGAAACAGAGACAATGCTAGGAACAGAAGAAAACTCCCAAGGAATTAGAATTAATGTCCTTAGAAACTTACATCCATGAGATAAAACCAACATATTTTAGATAAGAATAATCAGAGAAGAAAAGAAAGAGCTCTTAGAAATTACACATATGATTAGCCAAAATTATAATGTTACTAAAATGACCAAAACTAGGACAAAAAAGAAGAGGTAAAATGGATGTGAAAAGATAAGAAAATTAGAAAATCACTTCTCGTAGTCCAACATTCAACTAAAAATAATTTCAGGAAGAGAAAACAGATAGTGGAGAGGAAGTTATTTTTTAAAAATACCAGAAAACATGTAATTAGATTAATGGTGCCCCCCCAAAACAAACAGACCAGAAAACATCCAAAAACTAAAGCCCATGAGTTTTTAAATGGAAAAGGCCCATTCAGTAGTTCCCTAATGAACAAAGTGTAAGACCTGTGCCAGGGTACATTATCATAAAATTTAAGAACATAAAGAAAAGACCCAAAATTAAAAAAATTAAAAAAATTAAAGAGAGAGAAGACCCAAAGAATTTCCAAGGAGAAAAAGCAGATTGCCTACAAAGAATCAAGCAAAAGAAGGTATAAGCCTTCTCAACAGCAAATAAGTGAATATGGTTTTCAACATAGAATTGTATAACCAATCAAAGTATAAGTCAGAGTGAACACAGAATAAGTAAATTTACACACATGTGAGGTATCAAATTTTTATCTTTCATGAACCCTTTCTGTAGTGGATGTAGCCTGATAAAACAAAAATATTGGGGGAAAAATGTAAATGAGGCAATTATGTTGATTTTCTGTTTGCATTATTTGCAAACCTTTGTGCATTCTTGGGATAAAACTAACTTGTTCACAATACATTATTCTTTTTATATGTAGCTGGAGTTGTTTGGAAATCTGTACCTATTACAGTTGTTAACATCTTGAATTGACCTTTTTATATAGGGAAAGGCAATAGTATTTTGAGTTGAATTTTTTTTTTCATTTATTTCTCAGGTTCCACAATTTACTCATTTTATAACATTGCCCCTGAGTTTAATATTGTTTACATTGAAATTTGAGCATTTTTCCGGAGGACTGACTGCTCAAACTGCATGTGATTACACCACAGGAATTTGAAAGAGGCTAAATTACTTTATTGTTATTCCTTTGGTACATTGCATAGGGTGAATGTCTAAGCTGTTCCCAGTTTTGGGGGTAGACTCAGGTTTTTCTTTCTTCCTCCTCCATTATCACCCCTGTTTCTGTGTGCCTTCCAGACACCTTCAGTCCTCCCTACCTGCCCTTTGTGTCTGCTCCTGTTTCCCTAAATGAAGCTCTCCATTGCTGAGTGCTCACTAGGGCTGGGCTCTGTACATAGACACCGCACACAGGAGGCGTGGTGGGCAGGACCTCATGGGCTAAGGGCTGGGTCATGAGGTCCACATGCACCAGCCCAGCAGCTGACGGCTCAGAACTGGCTACCCAGACATCCTTCTGACTGGCTTCTCCATTTTTTTTTGTACTTACACTTTTTTTTTAAATTAAGGTGTCATTAATACACAATCTTATGAAGGTTTCACATGAGCAATATTATGGTTACTACATTCACCCATTTTATCTATTCCCCCCCCCCCATTGCAGTCACTGTCCATCAGCATAGCAAGATGCTGTAGAGTCACTAGTCTTCTTTGTGCTATACTGCCTCCCCGTGACCTCCTGTATTATGTGTGCTAATCGTAATGCCCCTCAATCCCCTTCTCCATCCCTCCCCACCTACCCTCCCCACCCCCTTTCCCTTTGGTAACCACTGGTCCTTTCTTGGGTTCTGTGAGTCTGCTGCTGTCTTGTTGCTTCAGTTTTGCTTTGTTCTTATACTCCACAGATGAGTAAAATCATTTGCCTTTCTCCGCCTGGCTTATTTCACTGAGCATAATACTCTCTAGCTCCATCCATGTTGTTGCAAATGGTAGGATTTGTTTTCTTCTTATGGCTGAATAGCATTCCATTGTGTATATGTACCCCATCTTCTTTATCCATTCATCTACTGGTGGACACTACTGATGCTTTCATGTCTTAGCTATAGTAAATAATGCTGCAATAAACATAGGAGTGCGTATGTCTTTTTGAATCTGTGACCTTGTTTTCTTCAGGTAAAAGTCCTAGGAGTGGAACTCCTGGGTCAAATGGTATTTCTATTTTTAGTTTTTTGAGGAACCTCCATACTGCTTTCCACAGTGACTGCACCAACTTACATGCCTACCAGCAGTGTAAGAGCCCTTTTTTCCACATTCTTGCCAATACTTGTTATTTCTTGTCTTCTGGACAGTGACCATTCTACCTGGTGTGCAATGATATCACCCTGTGGTTTGGCATACATTTCCCTGATGATGAGTGATGTTGAACATCTTCCCATGTGCCTGTTGGCCATCTGTACTAGGGCCTTATTTTTAGATGACTGATTCAGTATGTTGATATGCTTTTGTCCTTTTAAGTTCAATTGAAGTGATCTTACAGGAATTACAGGAGTCTTACAGGAGTTACAAATCCATAACTCAGGGCTGACTGGCTTCTCTAAGTGGGATGGAGACTTGGCCCACCTCATGGTGAAGGGTTTAGTGGGTTACATACATATATATGTTGTTCTTACAAAGGGTGTAATTGGTATTTAATGGCATGAAAATGCATTCACAATCAATGTTGATTTTAAAATGTAGAACAAAGTACAATCCCATTTCTTGAAAATTATATATAAATGTATATATGTGTTTGTATTTGTGTATGTGTATATATATATACATACATAGCAGAAAGAATGCTAACTTCTTTCTGCTGGCTTTTCTATATTCTAAATTTTCTATAATGAAATCCTGTTTTTTTTATTAAGAAAAATAAATCTGTAAGTTGTTTTTAAGAGAAAACTATGATGTTCATTACAGTAATGTGCAAAATAGTTACCAGTTGGAAAGTACCTGAATTTCCAGTAATAGAGTAATAATATGTTATGGGGTGTTATGATTGTTACATTAAATGTTAATTATTAGTTTCTTAAATTTTACATTGCTTAGTATTTTTATTTTATTTTAGGCAAACTTTGGAGTCGGAGTTTAAAACTAGCTTATACTCTACTTAATAAACTGACTAGTAAGAATGAACCACTCCTTAAGCCTGGAGACAGAGTAAGTAACTAGAATGTCACTTTACGGGAGCGAGCCAACAGAGCCCTCCAAACGTGTCTCATTGAAGTCAGCATTCTATCAGTTGGTTGACTTACAGCATCAGCACAGGGTTTAAAGGTGGTGCTGTGAACACCAGCGCCAGCCCCGCCGTGTGATGTAACAGTTCTTGTGATGTCATGCCCAGCCAGAGGCAGCCTCTTTTCTCTGACTTCACATATGTTGATTTTAATAAAATTAGCTATTAATAAATATTCCCAGTCTTAGGTTTTATGAGGAAACACAGACCTTGCTCTGATATTCTCTGTGTTTTTTATGTCCATCTTCTCACCTGTTCCATGTGGCCAGCCCACTCCTCCTACCTGCCTGCTAGAGTGGAAGGCAGAGGAGGGCAAGAGGCGGCTTCCTTGGACAAGTGCCCAGTGTCATTGGCAGGAGCCTTATGGGACTTTAAATTAACCACAATTAAGTAAAGTAAAAACTTATGTTCCTGTTGCATGAGCCATATTTCAAGGGCTTAGTATCCACATACGGCTTGTAGCTACCATGTTTGGTAGCTTAGAGAGAATATTTCCATCCTGTAGAACGTTCTTGGGACAGCAGTGCTCTAGGCAAACGGAGGCTGACTTGAGTAACCCAGGGATCCCAGAGGCACAGGATGGGAGACAGAAGAAGGTGGTGACAGTCAACCTGCTTCTCAGGACAATCCCCTGGCATAGAGGTGCCTGTTGTCAGGTCACCCACAGTGGGCCTGTAAGCCAACAGCTGATACAGAGTGGCAGTGATTCAGAATGCCTCCCTCTTTGGTATGAACCAGTGAGCAAAGGCACTTAGAGAGGGAGACCCCACGTGGAAGGAAACAGCCAGGGGAAGGAAGGAAAACATGGGGAAGGAGATGGGGAGAGGAGATGGACGGGCTTGAGCAGGAAACAAACTTTTAGAATACCAGTATTAATATCCCTGGAGATCTAAGATGTAAATCAAGAAAAAGACGCCAGTAGGGAGACCAGGAGACAGGAAGTGGGAAGGAAAGTAGTGCTGTTAGGCTTGGTCACGAAGGCCCAGCACCTGATGGCTGGGAGCCCCAGAAGGAGGACAGAGAGCCAGGAGTAGAAAGCCTTAAGTGACAACAGTGTGAGACCCTGGAGCTGGAGAACCTTCAGTGCCGAGGGGAAGGGCCTGTGGCGGGATCTGTGCTGCAGCACAGCCCCACTGCTGTGTGAGACCAGCCCCAGAAAGGCCCCTCCCAGCACCCAGAGGTGTGCGCCGAGGTCAGCAACCAGGCTGGCCTTGGGGCTCACCAGGTACCACACCAGATGGCACCAGAGCGATGCTGGGATAGTTGAGAGGAAATACGATTTTCACCTGCAGTTCTATTCCTGCTGATTGAATAAATGTGAGGGTGGTGTAACCATTCTGAGACATGCAGGTCTCAAAAAAATTGGACTCCAGTTTTTTTGGGATGTTCCTAGAGGATGTGCTTCAGCCCGATGAGTGAGTGGGGTCAGGCATTCCCGGGTGACCACCAGCAGGGGACTGAGGAGCAGGCCGGACGGGGCTAGGGGGAGAGAGGCCCCAAGGTTGGGGCAGGACTTGTCAGCAGCTGGAACACATGAGTGCACCTGACTGCTGATTCGGAAGATGCTACTGATAGGTTTTTGATACATCTGGTGGATCATTCTAGAACAAATTGGCCAGTAGCTACCTAGAAAGCAAAACAGGTGGGAATGGCAGCAACTATTACCATCAGAAAGAAAGGGAATGTGAACTTGGCTGTAAAGGTGTAAGTAGTACAGAATTGATGCCTTCTGATGTGTTGTGCTTTAAATGAATCTGAGAATTACTAATTGATTTTTCTTGAAAAAAATTCTCGCAAGTACACAGTCTTCCAGATACTTAACTTGGAAGAGAAGCAACATGTTTAGGTTGATTATAAAAAGATTGACAAAGTCACAGTGAGTTCATTACAGATGGGCAGCAAGTCCATCCTCCTTTAACAATATGCTTATAAAAGCGAACAAATACAATTCTTTATCATGAATTTCCTAAAGACATACTTTTTATACCAGACATCTAGTCTCAAGGCTATAGGTCACAGTTCTGTAATAACTGTTAACATCAACTTTTGAAAGAGAGCTTTGCCCTTCTCAGCAGATGAGCTTGTCAGAAACTTGATTCCCAGACCTCAAGTAAAGAAAATAGGTAAAGCTTAAGCATTGTCTTACGAAGTAGAGGGTAATTAGTTAGCCATCCATTGTTTTGTCTTCTCAAAGGCCCTGTGTTAACAGTCTACTCAAATACTGTTTGGACTTACCGTTTCAAGCACACCTACTACAATATTTGGGGCTTATGAAAATGTTAGTCCATGAATAGCATTTAATTTAGCCAGATATTGTAACAGATGGAAATTGGGATGATAAGAGAAGAGACAGGGGAGGAATGCTGAGGGCTAAATAGTCAACTAAATAACAGGAAGTAAAATTGATACCTAAATATCTTCAAATATAAAATATAGCAGTATAAGCATGATATTTTAAAAGATGAGATTAAATAGCAAAAGGAAGATGTAAAATATTTTAAAAGTGGTTGCCTTGTGGAATGGGGAAGAGAGGATCATGGAGTACTTTTCATTAGTAATGTGTGTTATTTTAAATTCTGTGTTTTAGAGTTTTTTTGGTAAAAATAAAATATTTAGATAAATCAAATCATGCATATAATTTAAAGAGTGGCAGCATGGTGACCAGGTGGGAATAAAGGTGGGCTTCCTGTGGGGACTCAGGGGGAGGGAGCAGCTAGGGGCCCTCCGCTGAGCCGTTCTATGCCCACCACCCTTCCCTGCTAGTATGTTCAGGTCTTGAGTGCAGATCTGTGCAGTTAGGACTCTGCTGTCCAGAGTTTCCTTTTGGAAGATATCTCAAATAGAATTTGATTCCTTGTTGGTCAGCTGTTCTCGCCCTGACTGACCGGTGGGGGCGGGGGGCCTCCCCCTCGAGGTGCTGCTGCCGGGTCAGCCAGCGTGGATGGGGCTGGACTCGCATCCCACGGCCAGACCCCACTGGGCTGCCTTCACATGGGGATGTTAAATTGTTCTGCGGCATGTTGGAGTGAAGCCCTCAGCGTGGAAACTATTTATTGAAAGTTATATGGCTGAGGAAATTTAAGGGGCAAGAATTGACCCCCAAATTGTATTTTCTGGACCAAATTTGAAAAGCCATAGGATGACCTAAAATGTCTGAATTTTATCTGATCAGAAGTTCTAAAAGTTGAGATGACTGAATCCTTCCCAAGTAGAATCCATGGTCTTTCTTTGTGCTGCTGTAGGTGGCGCTGGTGTTCCCGAACAGTGACCCGGTGATGTTCATGGTCGCGTTCTACGGGTGTCTGCTGGCAGAGCTGGTTCCTGTCCCCGTAGAAGTGCCGCTGACCAGAAAGGTAGCGAAGGGGGCTGGGTCCCCGGTGCTGCTCGGAGGTTTTACGTCAGTTCTGGTGTCTTCCTCATCCCAGGGGGCGTTCAGGCAGGAAGGTGTCAGCTTTGGACAGAAGAGGAATGTAGGCCGGCCAGGAATTCAGAGATACTAGATTGTCTGCACATACTCTTCTTTGTGTATTTTGTTGGTGAGAGAAACTTTTAGAAGCTATAGATGGAGCTGTTACAGCACCTATTTGAATTTCCCAACAGAAATGATGCACATTTTTGGGAAAAAAATTTTATTTTCCCAAAATGAAATTTGGAATTTGACAAGATTTTGAAAAAATCTTGAAAAATTTTTTCTTCCAAGAATCCCTGTATTCGAATATCTGTTCATCATATGTTATCCTTGCGATATACTGGATTTATTTGCAAACTTTACTTTTAGATTCTTGGGTACTTGTTTATCAATAATAATTTTCATTTCTTGGAGATAAATAAATCTTATCTCATAGGGATAGTGTTGAGTATAAGATGGAAATTCTCGTACGTTTCTGTTTGCTTATTTAGCAGCATGCAGTTTTTATTACAAATATTTAATGTTGGGGACTTGATGGTGTTCCAGGTCGCTAGTACATTTTAGGTATAAATATCAATAGTCTGATTATTGAAAAAAATAATTAAAATTTTTTTATATATAAAAACCATGTATTTTAGAAAAATAAGTTTCCTATATTATCCCAGAGTTTAGGCAGTTGCTAATGTGAGCATTGCCAGCAAGAAGTATTCATGAATCTAAAAGTAAAGTTTGCAAATAAAGCCAGTATATCAAAAGAATAATGTATATGATGAACAGAAATTTGAATACAGGCATTCTTAGGAAAAAAACTAAAGACTTGTTAAGCTTACCAGAGGAAAATGACAGAACTTTACTGAGGAATGTATATAAAAGACTTTCCTGAAAGGCAGTGTGCATTTCTGTAGGGAAATAATACTATTAAAGGTCAGGCCTCCAAATATTAATCTGTAAATTTCTACACAATTCAATTGGAAATTTCCATGCCATTATTTTTGGAGTTTATTAAAATGCTGCTGAATATAATTTGCAAGAAAAATCTTGGAGAAATTAGCCCATTATCTAGAACTTTATCTTTCACTGCAAAAATATATATTCTAATTTAAATATAATTATATTTCATTTTCATGAAAATGTACCATATACATTTGGGATTGGATTGTTCTGGAAGTTTTAAGAGGGGTGAAAGAAAAGGCTTCTGCCTTGTGAGCGTGGGCCAGAGCACAGAGGGCCCTGTGTGGCAGGGCCCTGTGTGGCAGCTCCCTGAGCACCTTGCTGTGTCCCTCCTCAGGATGCTGGCAGCCAGCAGGTCGGGTTTCTGCTGGGCAGCTGTGGCGTTGCCCTGGCCCTGACCACGGATGCTTGTCAGAAGGGCCTACCCAAGGCACAGACTGGAGAGGTGGCGACTTTCAAAGGTGGGCCCGCAGGGAAAGGGGGGTCAGCATCGCTGCTGCCCTCGTCAAGCCACTCCGAGGTGCTTTCTAGCAGTTACACCCTATAGAGGCTAAAGGGTCTGCAGCAAAATGAATCCTCCCCTGACTCAGGATCTAGACCTACCTGTCCAGTATGGCAGCCGCTGGCCAGAGACACCTGTGAAATTAAGTATAATTTCAAATTATACTTTCAAAATAAATGAGGCTGTGACTCCTGTTTCAGGCATTCAGGAGCTAGTGGCCGGGCTGTGTACTGGACTGGACAGCTGGGCCCTGAGTCACCTGTGCCATGTCCTCTGTCTGCATCCTCACAGGTTGGCCCCCCCTTGCCTGGCTGGTGATTGATGGGAAGCATCTGACTAAGCCCCCGAAGGACTGGCACCCGTCGGCCCAGGGTGCAGGGGCTGGGACCGCCTACATCGAGGTACCAACCTTCTGTGACTCAGCATGCTAAAGTGGGCTTCATGGGCTTGGGTCTTGGTTTTCCTAAGAGTGAAAGCTTTTTTTTACATTACAGACTTACACTTTGTATGTTTTATCTTCATCCCAGAACATAAAGTGTCATGGAAACTACCTCAGACCCTCTGAGGTTCCACTCAGCTAATCTCCCTTACTGGCTCCAGGGCTGTGGGCATTTATGAGGGAGCTTGTTTGCACTGTTGCCCTCAGGCTCCAGCCCCAGGACGTGCCCCAACTTCATCTGGGGGTGTCACCTCGGGCCAGGGTGCCATGTGAAGTGCATGCCAGGACTGAGTAAAAGAGACGACCCACAGCTCATCTGCTGTGGCCTCAGAAACATCACATAACAGATTTACTTCTTGAAACCTTTCAGTATAAGACCAGCAAAGAAGGCAGCACAGTGGGGGTGACAGTGTCCCACACGTCCCTGCTGGCGCAGTGCCAAGCTCTGACCCAGGCATGCGGCTACTCCGAAGGTAAAGGTGTGGGGGGTCCTGGAAGCTGTCACTGTGCATCAGACTCAGCCCTGTACAGGACCTGCCCTCTGGTCCAGGCTGGGCCTCCTTGTGCCCGTGTTGGATGAGTACTATCAAGTCACCCAGGCAACCCTTCTCAGGGTTCTTTTCAATAAATTCACATGTGTTGATTTGATGGAATGTGAAATATATCTACCAGCAGTTCATCTATGCCCAGTGGGTTGGTTCAGTCTCTGACATAGCTGAGGGGCAGTGTATTTTGCATTAAAAACATGGCACATACATTAATCAGGACACACTTTCATATTGCTGTTTTCTGTGACTGTGGTTTTGGCTTAAGCTGTCATGCATGCAGATGTACAAATGGAATCTTTATGGTCATACATTATCTCTTGGAAACTTACAGTTGGCCTCCCATTTACTTTTAAAAATCAGATATTTATTTTTAAAACTACAAAAATGGATACATGACAGTTTTCTTATTGCAATACTGGAATTGAATAAACTAGAAAGCAAATTGAATAGTATGTTTAAATATCTAAAATGTGGGTGTTTAAAAAGAAAGGGTAGCTGAAGGCACACTTCAGTGGCAATTTGGAAAAGGATTTCACATGGTTCAAGGGCCTGAACAGTTTTTAAGAAATTAGATTAAACCAAGTCCCATGATTTCCTTTCTCTTTGGATCCAGTGGTAATCTTGAACCTGTGGGCCATGGTTAGGGCCCTTTGGCTATCAAAGGGGTTATGTGCACAGTATCTCACTTGAAATGTACCAGGGCTTCCTGGCACACAAGCCAGACTTCTTACTGGGTGTCCTGCGCAGTGTGCCAGCCACTGTGGCCTTGGGAGGGGCCAGATTTGCTCAGAGCCCCAGGCTCTGCCGTCTGCCCTGCGCAGCTTGGAGCCAGGTCCCACAGAGGACAGGGCTGGGTGCTCAGCACACAGCAAGGCCAGGCTGCCCCGGGACTCCCACCCACTCCCGACCCTGCAGCACACCAGCGTCATCCTCTGGAAGAGAAAATGGGCAGGAGAGAAGCAGGGTCCTGAAGGGCAGTGCCCAGGCACAGGTGGTGCTGCCTGAAGCTGCTGGACGCCAGCCTTGGGGCGACGGATGGGGGGCCGGGAGAGCCGAGAGGCCGGGACCCAGGGGCTCCTGGCCCCACATCTGGCTGAAACACGAGCCGGCTCGCCGGGCCTCGTCAAACCTGGCGTCAGCACAGTTCTCTGCTCGATTCAAAGTCATGTGGCCTCTTTTATGTCTATGTGATTCTGAACTGATAGACCCAAACAATTGATTGGTGCATGGTATTGGAAATGCTATACGTGGATGATGTACTCATCTCAGAGTTGCTATAAAAATTCATGTGACTTGCGAAAAGGGTCACTCAGCGGTTTAACCATCTTTGTCCACTTTCAGCTGAAACGTTAACGAATGTGCTGGATTTCAAAAGGGACGCTGGTCTGTGGCATGGAGTGTTCACAGTGAGTGTTGCGTGCTAAACAGTCTGACTGTTGGAGCGAGGGGTTTCTGATGTCTCAGATCAGTAGACGACAGCAGGCCCTTGGAGGTGGTGGGATTGGCCTTACCTGAACCAGGAGAGCCTGTGAGAGCAATGCAGACACCTGTGCCTTTCCTGGCCGGGCTCGTTCTCTGTTCTCTGGCCTCTGGGTGAGGCCTGCCCTGAGCACTGGTGTTTCTTCCAGAGCGTCCTGAACAGGATGCATGTGATCAGCATCCCGTACGCACTAATGAAGGTGAACCCACTCTCCTGGATTCAGAAAGTGTGCTCGTATAAAGGTACCAGGAAGTAGCATCCTCACTTGATTCGTCCTTCATTAAAGGGGGCTCTTTGAATTTATCTTTGTTGATTAAGAAAAAAACAGGCCAGCATGCAGAGCTGCACAGGGGACTGAGGAACCCTGCAGTCTGTGTGTGACACGTCCATGTGGTCCTGAGAAGGATACCGGCCACAGGCTGTCGCGAGGCCTCACCGTGTGTGCAAGGCCTGGTAGGTGAGGGCTGCTCAGTGACGGCTTTTTTCTGCAAGGACCATTGGCTCCTTGATTTATAGTCTTGATACTTCCATCCACTTGCATCAGTTCTCCTGATTCTTAGTGTTTGGGGTGGTTCTCATTTGAAGGACGGGCTTTTCCCATCCCACCAGTAGCAGATCTGTTGATGCAAATGAGCAGCCTGGACACAGAGCCCTCCCACCCTGCCCCCTACCTTTTTCCCATGCGTCCTGAGGGACCACACCTGCATGGGCCTGTGGAGCTCCAGGGCACCTTCACTAACTCCTGTCCCCGTTAACTGTCCCAGGCTCCTGTCCTGACTGGTCTACCTTCGCTGATACTAGTTAGTGCCAGCTCTTGGGTGCGGGCATGGAGCGTGTGCTCTGCTGCTGTTGTCAGAGTGACCTTGCAGTGGTAGCTGTCTCTGTTTATCCCATTTTATGGAGGAAAACTGAAGCCTGTGGGAGACTTGGCAGGTGCCACACACTAGTCAAGGCACAGCTGACGCCATTCGTTTATGCCCTGGGGTCCTCCCAGCACATCTCACATCCCGGAGGCTTCCTGCACACAGCAGGCCCGGCCACACCGTGGTGTGATTAGCAGCTTGGGGAGGGACAGTAGGAGACAGAAGAAGCAGATATGGATGGAGCTTCCCAGAGAAAGTTAAAGTTGAGAAAGGACCTGCATTTACTGCATCAACATAAGGCCTCAGGGTTGTTTGTTAGGTAAGACAGGTCAGGGTATGTGAAGCTGCCCATGAGACATGCTGCAGAGAGCCTGGGGCCTGGAACACAGGTCTGCATGCATCTGCCCTCGTGCGTGCACCGCGTGTTGGGTGCAGTACCACACGTGTCTGCAAGGTGTGAAGGTGCTGCCTTGCCGTGACCTGGGCCGTATCTGTGCCCCTCCCCTGCAGCCCGGGCCGCACTGGTGAAGTCCCGTGACATGCACTGGTCTCTCCTGGCTCAGCGAGGTCAGAGGGATGTCAGCCTCAGCTCCCTGCGCATGCTGATTGTGGCCGACGGAGCTAACCCATGTGAGTAAGGCCGTCTGATTAAGGGCTCCACAAGCCAAACTCGCTAGAGGACTGAGCCGGAGATGGAGCATGGCCAGAAACGGCACCATAGTCGTGTGACTATAAGTGACCTAAAGGTTCTGTAGCAGATCGTCTCTTGCTAGTGACCCATTGGCATATCCCATGCATGTGCATTAGGGCCCTGAATTTAAAAGTGATTTTAACACAGTTGGTCAAGGTACATGCTTGGATGAGTCGTCTTTGTTAAGAAGTGCCCAGAATGTAGATGTGGGCTGGGAGCCTTGTCTGAGCCTCCCTCTGTCTGGCCTTGTACCCTCACCTCACTGGCTCAGTTGCTGGTGTGCCTGGCCAGCCCCGTTGTCCCGGCAGAAGGTCCCAGGCATGCTGTGCACACCCCAGCGTCTGGCGGGGCCTGAGTGTGGCTGCTGACTGGGGTCGTCCTCTGGGGAGCCTCACTGACCCTTGGTGGGGCTTCCTGTGCAGCACAAAGCCACTGAGTGGGAGTTTTTTGTTGGCTTAGCAACTGTGATTCACTGTGTGCATTGAAACTCCCCCAGACCACAGGCTGGCCTTCCATCCAGTCCCGTCCAGTGTGGCCCTGACACCCATGCCCCCTAGGTTCCTGTCATTAAAGCCCCCTGTTCCCTTCCTCCAAGTGGGGCCCCAGGACCCTGTCCTGGAAACCCCAGGGTGGCCCTCACATTGCATCCCCACCCTGCCCCAAGCCCAGCTGACCCGGTCGGATGGCCACGGCCCTGTGGCTTCCCCTGGTGACTCTGGCCTATGCTTGCCTGTGCTCCTTGCCCCTCACTGAGGTCCCCCTCCCAGCTGCGAGGCTTTGCCACCAGGATGTCCCTCGGGCCAGCCCCCCAAGGCCTCTGCTCCCCACCTCTCCTCATCCCTGCCAGTCCCTGTGACACTGAGGTGTCACATTGCCTCGTCCCCTGCTGTCTGCCAGTGGCTGGTGTGAGGCTGGGCACAATGGCACCTGTGAGTGGCTCCTTCTGGCCTCGGGCCCTGCTGGGGCCTCAGGCCTGAGGTCCGTGGTGCAGTCCCGAGTGGGCAGTGCCCAGCCTCTTGGGGGCCATCTTCATGTCCATGATACCCCAACTGTGGCCAGGGGGAGGCTGGGACAGCTGGGGACAGAGTGTGGGTGGCCCCTGCAGGGGAGTCGTGGCAGGGTCGGCAGCTCCGTGGTGTGCTCGCACATCCCTGATGACGTGAGAGCCTCGGGCACCTCCTGCTGGCTGGACCTAGGAGGGGTGGTCCACGCTGCGGCCGGCTGGCTGTGAGCCAGGACAGAAGCAGGCTTCCTCTGAGGCATTCCCCTCACTTACTGTGTTTTGAAAATATATCATCTTTTTCATGGAGATGGCCCCTGGTCCATAAGGCTATTGCCTCCCTGTGTTGTGACAGGGCTCTGCACGCTGATGGTTTAAAAGTGAGATGATAGGAGGGTTGGCACGTGCAGCCTCCAGGGCCTGTGGGCCCAGCATTCGGCAGCTGAGGCCCGCCCCTGCCAGCCTCCCGTTACCCCTTTGTCCTGCTGTCCCATGCAGGGTCCATATCCTCCTGTGACGCGTTCCTCAACGTCTTCCAGTCCAGAGGGCTGAGGCCGGAGGTCATCTGCCCCTGTGCCAGTTCTCCTGAGGCGCTGACAGTTGCCATTCGCAGGTAACTTAACTACTTGCTGTGTCTGGTGGATGCGTAATTCTTCACTCTTAACGCTGAAGTCCACAGATGTAGTATCAACTTGACGCATTTGTTCTGAGCAGTAGAAGTCATGAAGTGGAGCCTGACCCCATTCCAGCCTCGCAGGAGTGTTTGTGTAGTACTGGGGTGGCCCCTGGCCGTGCTCCTCAGCCCTTGCTGGCCATGTGCCCCATGTGAGCCTGGGTGTGCACTGCGAATTGTGTTGCAACTTCTGGGACCATGATCTCTGGTTCCTCAGGCACGTGGGCTTGCTCTCTGAGTGCTGCTCGTCCAGGAAGCCCTCGCCGTCTTGTCTTCAGCCGTAGCAGAAGCTACAGCCCAGGTGTTCTTCCCTGTCCCAGGTGGGGTGGCCAGTACCCACAGGGCCCCACTGCCATGGATGGGGTCTGCCCTTGGGACACTGCTCTTCCTGGAGAGGCTCCCTGGCCTGGGGCCCAGCACCCCGCAGCCCCAGCAGCTCTTGTGGCCGCCTCACCTGGGTGTTGGGAGCCCCAGAAAAGAAAGGCTCCTGGTCTCCCTGTGCTCCCCCACACCCCGTGCCCTCCCCAGACCACCACAGGGGCATATCCCAGCTCTTTCCTGCCTGGGTCATCTCTTGCCTGTCTCGGGGGCCTTGTCAACAGCCGCCCCTGAGCGCCGCCCCGGGACAGGGCCATGTGCTTGCAGGTCAGGGTGTCCTCGGTGCTGACCTTCTACCTCATCTCAACTGTTAGAAAATTAGTCTCAGTTGTGATCTTGTATTATGTTCATATAATTACAAATGGTATATGCTTTCATATATGCAAGTATTAATCCAAAATTTTAAATAACTTAGCATTAAGAAATAGCATCTTTGTCCTTCACAAACCATAAATATTTATTCCTTTGCTCTATGTGATGTTTTGACCCTTCCCTTCCTGGAGACGACACTGTCCTTCGTTTCTGTGTCCCAGTTACCACCGTGTAACCAATCTCTCCCAGACTTGGGTCTCGAACAGCAGCAGTGATTTTTATCCTCCTTTCTTTCTGTGGTCAGGAGCTGGGGGGGCTCCGCTAGGTGGTTCTGGTGCGCAGCCGTATGGTCTCTGGACTGGATCAGGCAAGGGCTGCCAGGCATTTCTTCCTGTGCACAGCCCCAGGGCCTCTCCTCTGGGTCTTTCGGAGTGTCCTGGCCTGGGCTTCTGCATGGCATGTCATTCTGCATACCTGGCTGCCCAGGGCTCCAGGTGAGCCTACAGGACAGGCAGGTAGAAGCCAAGTGCCCTTTCATGACCCCCTGGAAGTCCAATACCATGTCCTCTGTCCTCTGTCGGGTGAGGCCGTGTGTGGTGTCCTTAGGAACATGCCTGCCACTCACAAGCCTGCAGACCCAAGCAGAGCAGTGGCTCGTCCTGCACACGGGGCCGTGGGTGCCTCCTCCTGCAGACTCGGTCTCCTTGCCAGCTTGCCTGACTTATCTGCAGGCCGCCTGACCTGGGAGGACCTCCTCCAAGAAAAGCTGTCCTGTCAATGAACGGCCTCAGTCACGGCGTAATCAGAGTGGATACTGAAGAAAAGCTGTCGGTCCTGACAGTTCAGGACGTGGGTCAGGTGATGCCCGGAGGTAAGGGATGGGACCTGAAGGAGTCTCGTCCTGATGAGAGTCGGGGGCACTCCAGGCTTTTCTGGTTCTGGAAGCACACAAGTTAAAGGGTCCTTAAAAATGGTTTTCCGTGTAAATTAAGATTTAAATTTGTGACATATTTTTTCAGCTTTTTGCCCCTATTTGTATTGAGTTTAAAGCAGAGCTGAAATACAAGGGTTAAAGACCTGTGACCTGGAAAATGGTGGCAGTGCTCTCCCTTCCCGCCTCACTGTGCCCATGCCTCACATGTGTCGAGGCATCTACCCTCACAGGTGTCTGTACATAGTTTGATGACAGGTCGTTTCTGGGAGTCACGACAGGTGCATGTTAACATTAGGAGCACAACTTTAAAGGCTTCAGGGGATTCCTCTGCACTGTAGAAAGGGCCACGGGCCACCCTGTGCATCAGGCCCAGGGGCCTGAATGTCATGTGAGTAGTTGGGGGTCTCCCTGCCAGCCCTGCGGCAGTGCTGCGACGAGTGGGCGATGGAGCAGTCTTCCCACAAACACTCCACAGAGTGACACCAGGTAGAGGTTCTCTGAGAACCACCAGGGCATCCAGGGTCACCCCTCCCCTCAGCGTAGTGACCCCACAGCTGCCACAGCTTCCCTCCTCACCATGCTCCCCTTCTGGGGCCCCCTGGCAGCTGTCTGATGCACCCTGGTGGCTTCCAGAGGCAGCTTCCCATCTGAGTCGGTCACCCTGCTCCCAAGCCTCCCTGACTGTGGCGAGACGGCAGGGACTGCAGGCTGCCCTGGGTCCCGCCTTGTGTGGGCGGCTCTGCCTTACAGGCGTTGCCTTGTTGACAGGACATGCCTGGAGTGGGGCCTCAAGAACAAGACTGGACATCTAAATTTTAAGTAGCAATAGCAATTATATTTTTTTCCTATAGTTCTACCAAAAATGAGGAACCATTGGTGCTATAGTATTCTTCAACGTGAGGACAAAACATTTTTACAAAGAATAAAGAATAGTCTTATTTTTAGTTGTTATGAGGAGGGCACATGTGACTCTTTAAAAGATTGGCACAATATTGAGTAAGTGAAAACATAAGGTACTGTCACGGTCATGCTCATTTTCTTTCATTAGTAAAACAGGGACCAGGATCGACTGTGTGTGTGTGTGTGTGTGTGTTCCCAAAGCATGCCCCCGAGATGTGCGTGTGTGCACGGGGCCCCCCCGGTGTGTGCGTGTGCACAGTGCACTCCCCTCAGGTGGGCGTGTGTGCACGGTGCTTCCCTAGGTGGGTACCTGTTAGCCGGAGCAGTCGCAGATGTGATGGCCTTGGTGAGGGCTGATGCTGTATGTTTTCACCAGATGGACAACCTTCCACTGTTGTAGTCCCACAGTTTGCATTTACCATGATATGAAGTGGGTTTGTGGACTTCTGTGCCTCTTTGTGATTTAAATCAGGTCTGACATTGTTGTAAATGCATGTGGTGAGTGTCTAGGTGTGAGTCGAGTGCCACCTGCATGGTCAGCACACCACCCACTTTAGTTGAACATGACCAGCATTCCCTCTGCTGAGGGTTTGATGATTTGTGAACACACAGGAAGGAAGGAGGGACTGCTCCTCCACCCTGCCCCCTGGCTCACTGTCTCTGGCAATAGTATGTTAGAGGAAACTCAAGAACAGGTTAAGGAAGGACTGTGTCTAGGTGGCCAAAGGTTATAATTTCATCACTGAGAGACCTAGTTTTATTTAATGAGCTCATATTCTAGTGTGTGTTTCACACTGCTGACAGGACTATTCCTGTATGCCTGCTCTGTGGCAGGTCTGGTTGGCCTGCGGCTGCAGTGAGCAGTCAGGCCACGTCCCCAGTGCCCAGGGGCAGGCAACAGGCCAAGCGTCAGGTGGGAGGCCACTTTGGGAGGACGGACCAGCGGCACAGGAGCAGGAACCAGCCTCCAAAGCAGATGGGCGGGAGGCAGGCGGCCCAGCCAGTATCTCACGCAGGTTCAGGAGGGTGATGTGGGAGGAGGAGTCAGCACCCACGTGTCAGAGAGTGAACGGTCTGTTGTCAGGCCCATTACATGAAGGGTGCACTGTGCTTCTCATCGGCTCACATTGCTTATACACTACAGTGAGATAGAAAGGCTGCTGCCTGGGCGGAGTGCATGTAATATCATAAAACTCATTAGGGGTGTTTTGTTTCCCTAACTACAAATGTATTTTTCATTTATGATTTTGAGGGTATTTTCTCTTTTTAGCTAATGTATGTGTAGTGAAGGTAGAAGGTACCCCTTATCTTTGTAAAACTGATGAAGTTGGAGAAATATGTGTCAATTCCATCGCAACTGGTGCAGCATACTATGGACTGCCTGGAATCACAAAGAACATCTTTGAGGTTCGTGCTTTCCCTGACCTTTATGTTGAGATTCAGCTCCACAAGTGCAGTGCAGCAGTGGGCTGGACGCACCCGGTGAGCACAGCCCTTGGGCAGGCCGACCTCCTAGGTGCCCACTCTTATAGGGTCTGCAGCCCTGATGGGAGGTGAGGTAGCCCACGGAAGCCAACGCCCTGCATGCTTGAGTTGGTGGATTGCCAGGATAAGCCCAGTGAGGGCCCATTCTAGGCCAGGCACTGGGAACACAGACATAAGGAGAGAAGGAAGGGCACAGGCCTCAGGAAGACCCTCCTGGGTGTGGGAGCCCAAGATGGGTCTTGTCAGCTAGCAGAGGCCCTTGGGCAGTGTCTGTCCTCCAGGGAACCACACCCTGCATGGCTGGCAACATGCGTGTTGGCCTCTCCTGCCTGCTTACTGGGTCTTATCAACCAGTCGATTCTTATCTGTGGACCGTGGCCTGACTGTTCCCCTCTGCTCTGTGCAGACCGTCCCGGTCACAGCAGAAGGAGTGCCCGTCTCCGACAGGTCCTTCACCAGGACAGGGCTGCTGGGCTTCATTGGGCCTGTGAGTATGTCCTGCTGCCAGTACCAGAGCCTCTAGATGGGCTTGTGATTCAGGGGAGGGGCTGCTGCCCTACGGCAGCACTGTGAGCCCAGAGCATCACTGGAACTGTGTCAGGGAGCCCTGACGGTGGCCCGGCAGCATTCCGATTACTTATCACCCACCTCTGACCTTCCTCTGGCTTCTCCATGGACACCCTCTCGCCCACCCCAGCCCACCTGTGGGCTGTGGGACCCTTCCTCCCACAGTTTCCCTGTGTCTGTGGGCATGTGGACCCTGTCTGGGAGCTGCTCAGCTTCCGTGTGCTGTCTGCTCCTTGTGGCAGGGCGAACCCACGGGCCTGCCTGCCTGTCTGATCCCTGACCAGTGTCCTCGCCTGCAGGATGACCTGGTCTTTGTCGTGGGCAAGCTGGATGGGCTGATGGTGGTCGGAGTTCGCAGGCACAACGCGGATGACATTGTGGCCACTGCACTGGCTGTGGAGCCCATGAAGTTTGTCTACAGAGGCAGGTGATGCGCTGGGGGCCCTGTGCTGTGGCTTTAGGTCCCTTCCCCCTGAAAGTTCCAGAATCTTACTGCTCACCAGAAAAACTGCACAAAGAGAGGACGACATTTGCTCCTTGGACCCTGGAGTTGTGTCCTTGCCACCTGCAGCTCTTAAAGAGGATGGGTGCAGATGTGCATTTGGGCAGAGGGACCAGGGACAGACAGCCACAGGGCACAATGTGTGACAGCGCCGGGGTCAGCTTCCTAGTAGCCGCAGGCATGCAAGCTGAAGCAGAAGTACCACTTCTCTGAAATCACTGAAGGCTGAGTCTCTTTTCTGCTGAGGTCTAGCAAGACGCGCAGGGTACACCGCCTTGCTCCTGTTATAGGAACCATCAGCTTCCCAGGTGCGTTGGGCAAACGCTCTGAAGAGTCTTGTTTCCGTCAAGCAGACTCTGGCCGGGGCCCCGGGTGGCTTGGGGTGAGGAGGGAGGTCCTCTCTGGCCCCTTCAGCTCCTGAGCAGTTTTTCCTGGAGGAAGTGACCCCTTGTCCTCATTGGCCTACTCAGTGGACTGCATTTTTAAGTTCATTTTCCTCAAAGGCTGATTTTGTTAATCAAACTAGGGTCTGGACAGACTGTGCCTTTGAATACCTTAAACCATTAGGGGATTCTGCTGAGCGGAGGGTCCGCAAGGGCTGCTGACCCTTTCCCCAGGTCAGGGGGACAGGGAGCTGCCCGGGAGAAGCCAGCGGGGCAGGCCCGTGGGGGCATGCAGCCTGGCATGCTCAGGACAGCATGATGTACTCTCAGCAGAATCGGGGACACTGTAGTACCGGTGCCAACAGGGATGAATATCAGGGTGGCCCACACCACTTCAGGGATGGGCCAGGGAGACCACCTCCTCTCATGGCCACTGGCACCTGGTGAGGCAGCGCCGGCCTGAGTGAGGGGCAGAGGGATGGGCTGCATCTGCAGGTGGACAGGGTGGCCTGCCCGTCCCCACCAGGGAAGAGCTTGAGGACCGCAGTGCCTCAAAACAGAAACAGCTGATGGAGGGAGCATGTGCCTCCGGGAGAGAATGTCAGAGTATTGGCAGCATGAAGTGAGGTCAGGAAATCATGACAGAATGGTTGTTTAGACAAAGGACACAAGGGATGAATGAAGAGAATACATGCAGTACAGCACCGCCGAGCCAATCAGAGGCAAAGAGATAGAAAGTGGAAAAGAAAAGGGATGAGGAGAGAGGAAGAGCGGGCACGGATAGCACCCTCAGAGGGGCACCCCTCAGACCTGGGGCTAGGGTCTCCAGCCTTAAGGAGAGTCCACAGGGCGTGTTTGGCAGTGCCTCTGGGCGAGAGGAGCCCAGCCAGTGCACCACGCCTGCCGGCACTGGGGCCAGGGCATGGGCAGGACAGCGCAGTGTGCTTCTAAGTTCTTAAAAGGAGCTTTAAACTTAGATGTTATGTTCATCTGAGGTGTCACCTACTTGGGCAGTTGTAATAAAAATATTCTTGGGTTTGAAATTTCAGAAGTTTTGTCACAAAAGGATTCAGGAAATGCTGCAAAATGTATAAAAGTAAGGAGAATACTGGGTAAAGGTTTGTTATGAGGAAGAGTGTGTGTGCGTGCACCGGCCATGGCCAAGCACAGAAGGTGCATCCCTAATGGCCCAGAATTAGAATGGTAGCTTGATGGGACACCGGCTGCTTTTCTCATAAGGGAAGAAGATACTGACTCAAAACAAAGGCAGTACAGAGAAAAGGAAAGACGTTGAAATTCTGAAGAAATTAAGATAGTAGGAGAAACAAGTCCAATCTTATCAATCACAATAAAATGAATAGATTAACTATTTAGAGATTTAATCAGTTGGATAAAAAATTAGAACGTTTGGACAAAGATGTCTGCACAAAGAAACGTATTGTGTGTCTTAACATTATTGTAAGGGAATTTTTCTTTTAAGATGTGTGCCTGGTTGTTCTGTTCTGCATGCTGATTTAGTGAATCGAAGCGCTGTGTTAAAGTAAGGTTAGCAACTGGTTGCTTTTAAATACCCAACAAGCAGCCACGGTCAGAGGCTTTCAACACCAGCACTCGTGCGTTTTCCACTTGAGTGAGAGGCTGTTCTTTGCTGGGTGGTCACTTTTGTCCTCGCCTGCTCCCAGGATCACTGTGTTCTCTGTGACGGTGCTGCACGATGACCGGATTGTCCTTGTGGCCGAGCAGCGCCCCGACACGTCCGAGGAGGACAGCTTTCACTGGATGGGCCGCGTGCTACAGGTGGGCACAGGGCCTGCTGCTTTTCCCACCTGTCTGTCCTGTGTGGCTTGGGCATGTCCAAGTGTATGGGTGTCTCCATTCCATTGCTGCAGAGCCCACTTCCCGCCCGGTCTCTGGCTTGGTTTCTGAAGCACTTTCACTTTTTTCTAACCGTGCTGAGCAGGCCAGATGTCTACTTGCCCAAGTTTGAACACAGGCCAAGTTGCTAAGAGTCATGCCTTCCAGGACCCCTCCTTCCCCCTGTGCTGCCTGCACACACAGTGGGCTCTGTAAGTGCAAAGGAACAGTATTTTGAACTGTACTGCTGCACAGGGGTAGTGTGTCCTTGTTATTTTACCAGTCAGAATGATTTAAAAGAAAACTGTCATTTAGGTTTGGAGCAGGCCAACACCCCAGCATGTCTGCTGAAAATGAGAGTGTATGCATCTCTGTTCTGTGGTTTTCCTAGCATTTTATTATGAGAATTTAAACCTACAGCAAAGTGGAAATAACTGCACAGTGAATGACCAGTGCCCAGTCCCTGGGTTCTGCAGTGGTGGACACTCTGTCACACTTGAGTGTTGCATAGCTGCCCCTCTGCCCATGCACAGGGCATGCTGTGTGGGCGGGCACTGCGCCTTCCAGCCCCTCGACGCCTTCACATTCCTGCCTTTATGTACTGAACTAGAGCTAAACATACTGTGTTTGGGGGTGGGGGAGGGAGTAAAATAGACATTTAAATGAAGTACACAAATCTTAAGAGTACCATTCACTGAAGGTATTTTTAGTCTATTATATTGAATATAATTTGCATGTTGTATATTGAGCCCATTTTTAAGTGTACAGGTTCGTGAGTTTTACAGGTGAGTGCCCCCAGGTAACTGCGGCACCATGATAATAAAGGCCCAAAACATCCCCGTCTCCCAGCATCCTCTGTTGTCAGTTCCCAGCCCAGCCCAGGGAACCACTGCCTTTTTTTATTTTTATCATTAATGTACAATTACATGAGCAACATTATGGATACTAGACTTCCCCCCACCCCCATTATCAAGTCCCCCCCACAAACCCCATTACAGTCACTGTCCATCAGCATAGTAAGATGCTATAGAGTCACTACTTGTCTTCTCTGTGTTGTACAGCCCTCCCCGTGCCACCCCCACACACATTATGTCTGCTAATAGTAATGCCCCTTTTCGCCCTTTACGCCTCCCTTCCCTCCCATCCTCCCCAGTCCCTTTCCCTTTGGTAACTGTTAGTCCATTCTTGGGTTCTGTGAGTCTGTTGCTGTTTTGTTCCTTCAGTTTTTCTTTGTTCTTATACTCCACAGATGAGTGAAATCATTTGGTACTTGTCTTTCTCCACCTGGCTTATTTCACTGAGCATAATACTCTCTAGCTCCATCCATGTTGTTGCAAATGGTAGGATTTGTTTTCTTCTTATGGCTGAATAATATTTCATAGTGTATATGTACCACACCTTTATCCATTCATCTACTGATGGACACTTAGGCTGCTTCCGTTTTCTTGGCTATTGTAAATAGTGCTGCAGTAAACATAGGGATGCTTATGTCTTTTTCAAACTGGGCTCCTGCATTCTTAGGATAAATTCCTAGGAGTGGAATTACTGGGTCAAATGGTATTTCTATTTTTAGTTTTTTGAGGAACGTCCATATTGCTTTCCACAATGGTTGAACTAGTTTACATTCCCACCAGCAGTGTAGGAGGGTTTGCCTTTCTCCACAACCTCGCCAACATTTGTTGTTTGTCTGTTAGATGGTGGCCATCCTAACTGATGTGAGGTGATATCTCATTGTGGTTTTAATTTGCATTTATCTGGTGATTAGCGATGTGGAGCATCTTTTCATGTGCCTGTTGGCCATCTGAATTTCTTCTTTGGAGAACTGTCTGTGTAGCTCCTCTGCCCATTTTTTAATTGGATTATTTGCTTTTTGTTTGTTGAGGTGCATGAGCTCTTTATATATTTTGGATCTCAACCCCTTATTAGATATGTCATTTATGAATATATTCTCCCATACTGTAGGATACCTTTTTGTTCTACTGATGGTGTCCTTTGCTGTACAGAAGCTTTTTGGTTTGATGTAGTCCCACATGTTGATTTTTGCTTTTGTTTCCCATGCCCGGGGAAGAAGTTACTCATGTTTATGTCTAAGAGATTTTTGCCTGTGTTTTTTTCTAAGAGTTTTATGGTTTCATGGCTTACATTCAGGTCTTTGTTCCATTTCAAGTTTACTTTTGTGTATGGGGTTAGACAGTGATCCAGTTTCATTCTCTTACATGTAGCTGTCCAGTTTTGCCAACACCAACTGTTGAAGAGGCTGTCATTTCCTCATTGTATGGCCAAGGCTCCTTTATTGTATATTAATTAACCATATATGTTTGGGGTTAATATCTGGAGTCTCTATTCTGTTCCACTGTTCTGTGCATCTGTTCTTGTGCCGGTACCAAATTGTCTTTATTACTGTGGCTTTGTAGTAGAGTTTGAAGTTGGGGAGCAAGATCCCCCCTGCTTTATTCTTCCTTCTCAGGATCGCTTTGGCTATTCGGGGTCTTTTGTGGTTCCATATGAATTTTAGGGAACCACTGCTTTTTGTCCCTACGGAAGAGATTTCCCTTGTGTGAGCAACACAGCAGTGCAGTTGCCCGGCACATGCTCCCTGTCTGGCTGCTTTCCCACAGCGTGTTCCCGAAGCTCCTCGTGGTCAGGTATAGGTCAGTGTGTTGCTTTGCTTATCCAGTCACATCTCAATGGACATTTGGGTTGTTAATTTTTGGCTGTTATGAATAAAGTTGCTACCAACAATAGTGTACAAATCTTTGGGTGAATTTAACTTTTGGCAGCTATTTAGAGAGCCTTTCTAAATAGCTCTCTAAATAGCTCCCGAAACCCCCAGGTCAGTTCGGGAGTGTGTCCAGCCCCCAGCCACCTAAGAAAGGAAACTTGCATGAGACAAGCATCAGGGAGACCCAGGACCCCAAGCTTCAGAGTACTGTTGTTCCACTGATAATTCACAACATTCGTTTTTAATAAAAATGGTGATGTGTTGTCATGGAGTATTTCTGATATCCCGAGCATGAAAAGAAGAGAGCAAGGACCCCGCCACCACTGCCCAGCTTCCATGACTCACGGCCTCTCAGGGACCCCCTTTCCTTACTCCCCCCTTTCAGGGGGGCTTTTATTCACATTGTCTCACCAGTGAAGATTTTAGTATTCGTTTCTTCTAAACAGAAACACCATTATCACATCTGAGAAAGTAATGATAATTTTTTTTTAAATTGAGATGTAAATGGCACATGACATTAGATTCAGGTGTATAACAGGATGTGACGTGTGTGTTGTGAAATGACCACAGGGAGTCGAGTTAATGTCCATCACCATCCATAGTTACGGCTTTCTCCCATGAGGAAGACTTTCAGTATCTCTGTTAACAGCTTTCAAATATGCAGCGTTATTCACTATAGCAACCATGCTGTGCACACATCCTCAGGACTTACGTCTTTGTTACTGGGAGTTTGTACCTTTTGACCCCCTTCGCCCATCTCACCCAGCCTACACGCCCTGTCTCCAGCAACCACCAGCTTACCTGTGAGCTCAGTTCTTTGTAGATTCCACATATGAGTGAGGCCGTATGGCATTTGTCTTTGTCTGGCTTACTGCACTTAGCACAGGGCCCTCAGGAGCCATACGCATTGTTACAACTGGCAGGATTCCTTCTTTTTTACAGCTGAGTAATATTAGATGTATGTGTGTGTATACACATGTATGTATGTGTGTATATGTGTGTGTGTATGCCACAATTTATCTGTTCATCCACTGATGGGCACTTTGGTTGTTTCTGTATACTGGATATGGTAAATAGTACAGTTGACATATAATGTTAGTCTGCAGTGAACATGGTAGAACAGATGTCTTTTTGAGTTAGTGTTTTCATTTTCTTCAGATGAATACCCAGAAGTGGGATTGCTGGGTGTTACAGTATTTCTATGCTTAATTTTTTGAGGAGCCTCCATGCAGTTTTCCACGGTGGTTGCGCCAAATTACATTCCCACCAACAGTGCATGAAGTTCCTTTTTCTCCACATCCTCGCCAACTTATTTTTTATCTTTTTTATAATAACCATTCTGATAGGTGTGAGGTGGTAGCTTTGATTTGCATTTCCCTGATGATCAGTGATGTGGAGCGACTTTTAATGTATCTGTTGGCATCTGTATGTTTTCTTCAGAAAAATGTCTGTTCAGATCCTCTGCCCTTTTTTATTTGGATTGCTTGGCGGTTTTTTGCTACTGAGTTCTATGAGTTCTTTATATATTTTAGATCTTGACCCCTTATCAGGTACATGCTTTCTCCCACTCACTGGGTCGCCTTTTCATTTTATGCTGGTTCCCCTTGCTGTGCAGAGCTGTTTAGTTTGATGTCATCCCACTTCTGTTGCCTCTGCTTTTGGTGTCAGATCCAAACAAAATCATTGCCAAGACTGATATCCAGGAGTTTACCACCCATGTTTCCTTCTATGAGTTTTAATGGTTTCGGGTCTTACATTCAGTCCTAAACACATTTTGAGTTAATTTTTGTGTGTGGTGTGAGATAGTCCAGTTTCAGATCTTTGCATGTGGCTGTCTGTTTTCCCATTGCCTTTCACTGAAGAGACCATCTGTTCTCCCTGCACTTTCTTGGTCCCTCTGTTGTCAGTTAATTGACACTCATGGATATACTTCTGGGCACTCTGTTGTGTTCCGCTGATCTATGGGGCTGTTTCTGTGCCAGTTCTGTACTGTTGTACATATAGTTCAGTATTGGGGGGCATGAGGCCTCCAGCTTTGCTCTTCTTTCTCAAGGTTGCTTTGGCAGTTTCAGAGCCTTTTTTATGGTTCCATACAAATTTTAGGGTTGTCTGTTCTGTTTCTAAGAAAAATGCCATTGGGATTTTGATAGGGATTGTATTGAATCCATAGATTGTGTTGGATAGAATGTCCATTTTAACAATATTAATTCTTCTAATCCATAAGCATGGAATGTCTTTCCATTTATTTGTGTCTTCAGTTTATTTCATCGGTGCCTAGCCGTTTTCAGAGTACAGGTCTTTCACCTCTGGGTTAAATTTATTTCTAGGTATTTTATTCTTGATGCAATTGTAAATGAGGTTGGTTTCTAAATTTCTCCTGATAGTTCATTATTACTGTATAGAATCAATTGATTTTTGTATACTGATGTATCCTACAACTTTACTGAATTAATTTATTCTGTTTTTTTGGTGGAGTCTTTACTTTTCTCTCCTCCTGGCTTAGCGGTCCTGAGCTCACCAACCTGTGTGAGTTTCACGGTGGTGCTGCTTTGATTCTTTTCCATTGTTAGCCAGAGCAGTTTCAGAAGTTGCTCCTCAAAGAGGGCCATTGCACCCCCCCACCCCGCCCAGTCACCTGGGCCTGGAACAAAGGTCAAGTGGGAAACAAGGTCAAGAACCAACTTCAGAGTGAGGAGCTGGTCTCCTAAAGTCCTCTGAAGGTGACCGCAGAGTCTTGTTTTGTCTGCTTCATTATGAACTGGTGGATTTAAACATATCAGCTGTGACTCCATCTATTAGTTATTTTTATTTCCGGTGGTCAGTTGGACCCTCTTTGGGTTGGCTTCTGAGTCCTTTTGACAGACCCCTAGGATTCTGAGGCCACACTAGAGAACAGAAAGCCCCAGTGCTTGGGGAAGTAGCATATTCCATGTCCTAAACCTGTCAGGCTGAGACCCCGGAGGCCCTGCTGCCTTCCAGGGGAAGTGGAGCTTAGAATGACCATCTACTGGCTTAGTCACTATTTCTGGGCTTTCTCAGCAAACAGAACAGGAAATGACATCTGTTTTAAGATCTGCATCCTGAGTCTATGCTGCTGGTTCCAACTCAGATTCAAGGCCACAGGGTCTTTGCTTAGCCCGTTGCTCCCCTTTCTCCCACACTGAAAGACTGCCATGCTGACGACCCCCGCAGGACTACCCATTCCCCTCAGGCCACCCACACATGCTGCAGTCTCAAATTAAGTTTCTTCCCTACCTCTGAAACGTGAGATTTCCAAGAGCAGCTTAACACTTTTTTTGCAATCTTTTTGCCCATAAGGCATATCCCATTAGGGGTGGACTAATCAGATTGTTGCTTAAAGTCACTTTAAATGGATTTTCTCTGAAGGGCTGTTCCACCAACCTGATTCCAGGTCAGTTGAGTTCATTTGTTTTATTTAACTTTCAGTTGTTAAGGATTGTTTTTTAAGATTTTTTTGTATGTGAAATGTATACACGGTTCCAGAGTCAGGTCTGTAAGTGAGGTCGTTCGAAGAAGTCCAGCCTCCACCCTCTGCTCACTGCCTCTCCTGCAGTTTTAGCGGCTTTTCTCACTCCATTTTTAAATGAAAGCTGCTCCAGACTTAGATACACAGCATGCACACAGTACATACTGCACACACACTGTGTGTGTGTGTGTGTGTTAAATGATGGAGGACGCACACACGTGTCTCCTTGTTTCCTTGTCAGACTGTCCCCTCGGCCTCTGGGTCCTGCTGCGCTCACACTGAGCGGTTCCCAGCCTCCCAGCTTCTTACTGTGTTGCTGTGTTGGTCAGCATGTTGCCAGACGCCACTGTGCCACCTTCAGGACTCAGACCCAGGCCTCCTATCGGTGTGCTTCTCTTCCAGGCAGTCGACAGCATCCACCAGGTGGGCATGTACTGTCTGGCCCTGGTTCCTGCCAACACCTTGCCCAAGGCTCCACTTGGAGGGATTCACATTTCTGAAACCAAGCAGCGCTTTCTGGAGGGGATGCTACACCCATGCAATGTGTTAATGTGCCCTCACACCTGTGTTACCAACCTTCCCAAACCTCGCCAGAAACAGCCAGGTTAGTTGTTCCTAACAGTCGGTGTCTGTCAATCTTAAAGTCGGTGACAACCACACTGGTTGAATGACAGTCATTTGGACCCTGCATCTCTGAGTTAGGTTTGGAGCCAGAGCAGGTGCTCCTCAGGTTGGTCACCACTTCTTGTTCCCTGGAACTGAGCTGCAGGGGAGAGAGAGCTCTGCCACCTCGCTGGCCTGGGGTTTCGCCCTGCCTAGAACCCATTGTAATAACTGAATTCAAATGGCGTCTTAGGTTTGGAAGGCTCGGTGCTGGCTCCCTGAAAGCAGGAATCATGCCCAGGGAAGAGGAGCTCGGGCATGGTGCAGCGTCCCATGGAGAGTGTGCGCCCCTCTGCCCTGTGACCTGCCGCAGCCGCAGGGCCGATGGGACCTAGGAAGTCTCAACACACATCCGTCTCCCTTCCCTGATTTTACACATTTAAAAACTAATTTTAAAGACCAGCTCAGCTATTACATACAGTTTTTAATTCCTGTGGTCATGTGAATTTTTAGTAAATGCCTACTTTTCTTTTGCTGATTATTGAAAACTATATATATATATTTAAGTAAAATATACTTAATGAGGAAGATTTAATTTCCCAATTTATATCTACAATAAATACAACAAAACAGTGAAATATATTAAGAGTATAGCTATGATTGAGGTCAAATCGTATCTCCCCAGATATGTGCCAGAAGGTAAACTTCTTAACCTGGCATTACTTATATTTAAGAGAGAGATTCTCTCTGTAATTCAGCATAACCTTGTAACTGGTTCCCTGAACATATGTGTTAGTGAAGAGTTAAATGCTTATTTCAAATAAGTGTGATGGAAATAGTTATGTGTTGACCCTGTATCAGAGGGAAGCAGCTTCTCATCCGGAACCCTGTTTCCTAGAGGTCGGACCGGCCTCCATGGTCGTCGGGCATCTGGTTGCCGGGAAGAGGACGGCGCAGGCCTCTGGCCGGGAGCTGGCTCACCTAGAGGAGAGCGACCAGGCCCGGAAGGTACTGCAGTGCCCAGGGGGTCGCGGGCCTCCCTCTGCCTGCTGATGCCTGAGCCCGCCTCTTCGCAGTTCCTGTTCCTGCCTGACGTGCTGCAGTGGCGGGCACACACCACTCCCGACCACCCACTATTTCTGCTCCTGAATGCCAAGGTGAGGGCTGGGCCCGCTGGCGCCTGTGGGTGCATGGGGCCCTTGTCTCCAGTCCACACGCCTCAGCGTCGTGACTGTGCAGAGTGGTGAGCCCTCGTGCCTCGGTGCCGTGTGGCACGGTCTCTACTGGTCCTGCTGTTCACGAAACGCCTGGCTTTCACACAGTTCACACAAAAGCATTTCCACTGATCTTGTACTTAATAGGAAAATTCTCACTAACCCAGTTTTTGGTTAAGAACAATATACTTGTAAGTCCCCCTAACCGATCTAAAAGGAAATGTTTATTTTGTAAACTTAAGAATTTAGACTTTCTGTGTTTGCTTATAGCTTAACAGGACTCAAGCACTTACTGCCTCTCCCCTGGTGCAGGTTCACTTCATGGTTCTGGGCACTGTCGCCCGTGGATCACAGTAGGTGCTTTCAGAGCATAAAGTAGCTGTGATCCTCACACCCAGGCTGTCGGCCAGTCAGCACAATGTGAATATGTGAAAAGTCAAATGACAATAGAAGTACTGCCTGGCCTTCTGTCAGGTGTCAGGCAGGCTGTCACCCCCTTGCTGCTGGGAAAGGGCAGCTCACTGCCTTCTGAGAAACGCTGGTCTTGCTTTCATCACTGATCGTTTTTGGCCACTGTTTCTTCATTCAAAAAATATTTATTGATGCCATTGTTAGATAAAAAGGGCCCCTGTTCTCCGAAGGCTTAAAATAAGTCTCCCCTGCTGAAACATTTTTGTTAAGAGAGACTTTGTGTCCCACGCTTGCTGTGTCACCACGGATCTAGAATAGTGCTCAGTACACATTTGTTTCACTGCTGATGGGGTTTTAGGCAGCTGATAATTAACGACTGACCCGAGATAAAATCATCCCATGAGGAGTCTGCAGATGAGCACAGCAGGGGTGGCACATAGTGCTGAGTGCCCCCCAACCCCGAAGTGTGGTGGGAAGGCCTGGGAGGGGTTGGGTGGCAAGGGTGAGGGGCCCCGTGCAGCTCCTGACTCCAAGTGATTCCTGTGGGTTGTAAGGGGGAGATTGGGAGCAGGTGGGCACTGGGGCCTCAGGTCCGGACATGAGAGGGCAGTTCAGAGAAGAGGACAACAGTTGAGACCATGGACAAGAGGGAGGTGTGGTCAGAGCTGGGCCTGCAGGACCCAAGGGCGTCCTGTGTGTGGGCTCCAGGATTTGGCTCTGGCTGTTGGCCGTGCGCCTGAGCGGTGCAGCCCTTCCCAAGAGAGGGAGCCATGGGGCAGGGTTGCACAGAGATGCCCGTCAGGCACATGTGTGGCAGGGCAGAGAGAGCTCAGCAGTGGCCAGTGTGGCACTGCACCTGGCTTTTCCAAACCCAGTCCAGTCTTTTCTCAGGGCCACTTGTATATTTTTGCTTTTATTTTGGTTTGTCAGCCTTCTCTGGATTTGAATTGTTCTTAGGCTCCCGAGGATGTGCTGGCTTTTGGCCCAGGAGGAAGTCTGTGGCTGTGGCACAGGTGGCCCCTATTCCTTGAGGCTCCGAATCATCAAAGGGATGGGCAGGGCTCTGGGCACTGGGCCTCCCAGCATCTGCCCAGCACTGGCATTCTGCCCTTGGGCTGGGAAGTACGCGCAGCTCGCCTGTACAGAGCCTCAAGGCTCCTGCCAGCAGCTCAACGTCCATGCAGGTCTGTGCAGGGAGGCGCCGTCAAAAAGACAGGTTCTGATGTCCCACTGGCCTGTCCCAAGAATTATGATGATTAGACCCTGTTGCACTTTTGATTTTCTTAATGCCTACATGTGCTGTGAGGCCTGCCTGATGCGGGTCAGCAGAGCGAGGGAGCTGGTTCCCAGCCCAGGCACAGACATGCTCAGCAGAGAAGAGGTGAGCCAGTGAACTGGCTCAGGTGTGGAGAGTCCGGTGCGGCCATTAAGGCAGCCCCAGCGCTTTGAAAATGCAGGTCTCAGAACAGCACAGGCCTGCTAATCTGGTGGATGTGAAGTTTAAACTTGCATGACAGTATAGGTTAGGGATGTTTATTGTGTATTACATATGTATGTGCATTTATATTCAGGATAATGGCTGCTTCTAGACAGGGAGAGGTTGGAATTGGGGGTGGTAACAGTGGCAATGATTTATTTTACAATAGAAAAATCGAAACATTGTGGCAAAACATTAGGTAGCCAGAACCTGGATTTTTATGTTAGTCTTTATAATGATGTTCTGTTTAAAAGATTTTATCAAAGAGGCCAAAAAGGCTTTGTTTAATTGCTGTGTCTCAAACTTCATGGACAATTTGGACACCCATTGCTCCAGGAGCCCAGGGGGTACCTGATGGCCTGTCCCTTTGCCTCAGCGGGGCAGTCAACACAAGGGTTGCATTTGAGATAAGGTGACTAGAAAGACAGCCTGCATGTTGAGCGGCACCTCGTCCCACTCCTGACAGCTGGGATCAGAGCGTAGGGTGCCGTTGGCGTGGGCACTGTTGCCCAGGAGCAGGCACTGCCCTGGATCAGCAGATCTGCCCGATGTTTGCTTCCCTAGGGCTCAGTCACGAGCACTGTGACCTGCGTCCAGCTGCACAGAAGGGCTGAGAGGGTGGCCGCGGCTCTGATGGAGAAGGGAAGGCTGTGCGTCGGGGACCACGTGGCTTTGGTCTACCCCCCAGGTGAGCACACCCAGATGTCCTGTCTTCACAGCTGTTCCCAGGGGCTGGCGACAGTCACCTTCCCCACAGATTCAACACTTTTTCAGTACAGGACCCGTGGCGTCTGGCTCCTGGGACCCCATAGCAGGTTTGGTGTTCACAGCGAGCACCTTACGTGGATGCCCCCTGAAGTAGTGGGTCCACTGTGCCCATGCTCATGCTCTTTTTAGTACAGCCTTTATTTGTGTTCCTTTTGCTCCTCTCACCTGGCTGTTCTTTCCCTGTCTCCCCACATTTTATTACCATAGTGTAGATACCTGTAGCCCCAGCCAGGCACCACACTTCCCTTTGCATCTGTCATCCTTCAAAAGTCATGTCTCCTGACCTCTGTAGTCACCATTTCTTTACAATTTGATTACCCAAGTGGGTATTGCCACGCGTCATAGTTTAGTCTGCCAATTTCCTTTAAATACGGTATATTTTTAAGTCTCTTTACTTTACAGGCTCCTCTGTTCCCTCTCTTCCCAGCAGTCCATCGGCCAAAGCTCTGGTCTGACCTTGCACTGTGCCGGCCCACAGTCTGCATGTGGCTGAGTGCAAGCTCAGTACAAGTGGACGGACCGCAGTTTTTCCTGCAGTCGGCAGCTCAATCTAGGCCCTGGATCAGATGCTGGCTCAGCTCTTTTGCGAGGCTCTGAGTGGTGTGAACTGTCTCATGGGAAACGCCATGCCGGGCCAGCCTTTCTGTGGTGATAGCAGCCATTGGTGATTACTGTTCCCATTCATCCATTCATTATGGTCACAGAACAGTGATATCCTAATTCTGTCATTTCTTTTATTAGCTGTAAAAACTCCTAAACAGACATGTCTCTTCATTAAGTATTTGGTCACCCAGTGGTGGAATTCACATGTAAAAGGCAGAATCATATGTTGATTCAACACTTTTTCAGTACAGTTAATTTTGTTTCCTATCAAACTCCAGAGGTGACCAGTCGATGGATTTGCAAATGTATCATATGGACTCATGGATCCAAACATGTCTGTTGGGTTTCAGTCCTTCCCTGGACTTGGGTCACCTTGGTTCGGGCAGTGGGAGCCTCTGGTGGCCCTGGGTCCTCAGGGACGGTCTTCCAGCCCCTGAGAGCCCCTGGCTGCCCTGCCCAGACCTGGAATCAGCCACTGCTCCACGGAACCCAGGTCCTGGCCCCACAGCAAAACCTGGGCCCTGTGTGTGCTCACTTCCCCTGAGGCGGCCGCTCTGGGCCTGTCCCGAGAGCACAGCTAGGATCATGAGCAAACACGTCTCATGAGTTCACACTGTTGCATCCGATTCGAATTCAGGATTCTATGCTTTCACCAAATGCCTTCTCCATTACAGCTCCTTCTTACCATACCAAAAATCCTGGTTCCCTCAGACAGAGGAGCTGACTGCATTGGAGTAGTCCATGTTCATTCCTTACTTTATCCCGAAGTAACAGTAGTAATGCTCTGACCACCTGTATGATTTTTGAAACAGTTACAAATTTTTTGCTTATGCATTCTCCACCCTGTTTTCTTGCATGTGCTGTGTCTGGGGCTCCCATTCCCCAGTAGCCACTGGCCAGCAGCCCACATGTGTGTATCTTTCTGGTCATGTAGGTTTTCTGAAGGCTTTTCTCTAGTTGATTTTTCAGGAAGGGTTCATGGGGGCATCCCCTGAGTTCTTGCATGTTGATAATAGTTTGCACACTTTAAGACAAAAAAATTCAACTAAGTAAAATTTAAAGATCTTACTGGCTTTAGTCAACAGTTCATGAATCAGGCAGCATCCATATGGTAGATAGAAAGGAGCTCCGAGGAGCTGTACAGAAGGAAAGGTTTTTATAGGTGGAAGCGGGTGGCAACAAGGACGTCATCCCAACAGAAGCAGGGTGGTCGGGCAAGCCATTCTCCTTCAAGGGACTGGGGCCCATCAGGCAGACGGCCTCCCTCGTGCCAACCGGGTCCTCCCTGCCTGCCTGGCCAGAGAGCCCATTGGGGGGGGTGGGCGCGCTGCCCTCCAGCCTGGGGTTGGTGACGTGGGCTTCTGCCCCACCCTCCCGTCCTGAGGCCTGGGTTCCGAGAGTCTGCTTTCCAGCCGTCAGCGAGATGCTTCCCCTAGGTCTGGCACAAGGGCAGAACACCGGGTCGTCGTTCTCTTACTCGGTGACTCGGTCCTGGGCCGGGACAGGAGTCCCTGGCCTCTGGCTTCTCTTGGGTGTGTCGTTTCTCAGGGTGCTGGGTGGTTAAGGCCCCCTCTCCCTCTCCCCTCTGTGAGCAGTTGCTTGCCTATAGGTTTTCCTTTTTCTTCAAAGCACAGGAATTACTGGGATGTGCCTGGTGTGAGTCCTTCCCCACCTCCTTGCCCTCCCCTCTTTCCCTGCTTCTGGAGCTGCCCCCGCCCGGTCTTTGGCCCCGCCCTCCCACCGCAGGTGGTCTCCGTGGCAACCACTTTCTTATGCTTGCCTGTGGTGACGTCTCTCTGGCCTGGTGTCCAGGCCATGGGTCCTGGCAATGACTGTTTCTTCAGCTTATCTGGGGGGACACTGGGCTACACTGGGCACTTTCTCTGGGCTGGGACTCCTGCCTCTCAGGGGAGTGAGGGGTGGGGTGCTCGTCCCAGGGGTTGTGGATACCTGGGTGACAATCCACCCAGGAACTGGGGCACAGCAGCAGTCTGGTTTGTTTCTGAACACGGATACATGGCATGTGAGCACCGCAGGACTTTCCCCGGCACTACAGTTCCTTCCATCAGCGCCCTGGAATGTGAGGTTATTCCTCCACAGGGGTGACTGTACCTCCCTCTCCACAAGCTCTGCTCTTCAAGTGCCCCTGGGTTCCAAGCACCTGTCGGGCTGCAGTCCCGTGGGACGCACTGCAGGAAAGGCAGGGCTGACATAACCGGTGGGTACTGCCCTAAGTGGTTCAACACAGGAAAAAAAAGACAAAACCACAGGTAGCAGACACGGTGCCACCTTGGTTATTGAGAATCCGAGTGATGAAGAGGGCCTGATACTCCTCTCTGCTTTGGGGTACACTTAACGCTCTTCCTACAAAAAGCTTAATGAAAAAAAAATACATGGTAAAGTTCTAAACTTGAATTTTAGAAACTTACCAGCAGAGGGAGAGTATGACCACTGCTGAGGGCCGGAGCCCCGAGGGCGCAGAGGCTGTGCAGGAGCACTTCTGGGGTGAAGGAGGGTCCAGGACCTTCCTCCCGTTCTCAAGGGGGTGAGCCAGCACTCTCCGAGTGCTGCAGGGGTGGGTGTTGCAGTAGCCAGCCTCCCCCCGTGCTCCGGGACGGGGCCTGTGCTTCCAGGGAGCGGCGTGAGCTTCATGGGCCAGCAGGAGAGCTCCCAGTTGCCTTTCATTTGTGTCCAGTCTGATGACACTATGTGTGCTGGGCAGAGCGGCTGTGCCGGCAGTGGACACTCTCATGCATGTTGTCTGCTGTGTGCCAGTGCACCAATGCCCAGCCAGGCCCTCCCTCAGTCCTCTTGCCACCCCGTGGGCACAGAGCAGGGGGTTGCTCCCCAGGGCAGTACTGGGGGGCTGCCCAGCCCCTGGTCTTATTTCTAGGCACTGACGGGGCATCAGGAGCTTGCAGTCTGGTGAAGCCCAGGAGTCGGGTTAAATGTTGTGTATTTATTTTGATTCTGGAGTGGAAACAGCCTGAGATGATGTCCTGTAGCCTGTGTAAGCCAGGTGGCGCTTCGGATGATTTGAGGGCAACACCTGGAGGCACTTGCAGGATGGGAGCACCGACATTCTCAAGTCGGACTGAGTTCAAGACCAGAAAACAGGTCTGAATGTGGTACAATGCACCCTAAATTCCAAATACGGGGAATTTTAAATATTTCGAAATTTGAAGGAACAGGGCAGTGGTCCCTTGTTGCCGTGTGTTGTCATGAGCAACATGGGGCTGCCCTAGCCTGTCCCCAGGGGCATGGGCCTCCCTACAGATCCAGCAGCACCCCCAGGAGAGTCCACACAACCTGCAGCTGTGTCCTGGCACCGACGTGCAGCAAGGGGTGCAGGGCCTCCATGGGACCCCTCCTGCCTTCTCTACTGCCCTCACCCACCTGCCCACCGGTCCTCTGTGCAGGGGGTGCCACAGGGTCTCCGCTCCTCAGGGCCCCAGCCTCCCGTGCCCTCTGGGGCCTCCTTCGTGCTGTGGCTGTGCCTCCTCCTGCCTCCCTGGCCCTGGGTGGAAGCAAGGAGATAGGCCTGCCCCGGGGGCCAGCTCCTCTCCAACCCTGACTGTGCTGAGCTCTGTAAGTGCCTTATTAGTCCGGAGGAGTCGCAGCCTTATCCAAAGAAAGCACAATGGCATCCCCCTTGTCTTTTTGCCTTTCTGTGGCCTCAGACACAGTGGGCCACATCTGGACCCGCACTGACCCTCTGCCCATGTGTCTCCCCAGGGGTGGACCTTATCGCTGCCTTCTACGGCTGCCTGTACTGTGGCTGTGTGCCTGTCACTGTGAGGCCCCCACACCCCCAGAACCTCACCACCACACTTCCCACTGTCAAGATGATCGTAGAGGTACCTGCCTGACACTAACCCAGCAGGGGAATGGGATCCTGGGCCTTTGTGTGGTGGGACCGGGCGAGCTTGTCCTCTCCTGGTCTAGTTGCTTTGTCAGGGCCCTGCGGGCGGGCTTTGCCCCAGGCACACCCACCCATGCCTTCAGGGTCCCCTGTGCTCTGCAGGTCAGCAAGTCCGCTTGTGTCCTCACCACACAGGCCATCGTGCGGCTGCTCAAGTCCAAAGAAGCAGTGGCCGCCGTGGACGTCAGAACCTGGCCGACCATTCTAGATACAGGTACAGGTCCTCAGCACCTCAGCGTTTGCACTGGCTCCTGCCAAAATGAACCCCCTTTCCCTTTCTTTGATGTAGGGATTACATTGTTGCTAGCCAGAAATAAGTTAGATAAGAGCAGCTTCAGTAAATGGTGAGGAGGCTGCCAAAAGGAGCCCCCCAGCTGGATTCCTGACGCCCCGTGTTCCCCATCAGAGCCTGGGCACAGAGTGGAAGGACTTGCCAAGCACAGATGCCCTTTCTTGGGACAGGGTCTCTGTGGTTGATGGGTGGGGGGCAGAGTCCCTGTCGCAGGCCTGTGTGCCCGCCCCTCTCTGTCCTGCCTGCACAGAGCTTGGCAATTGTGGGGACATGGACAGTTCCCGCAGTGCACACACACACACACATGTGCACACATGCACGCACGCATGTATCCTTTGTCTCCATCACTGGTGAATGTTGCCATGCCCCATGAAATGCTTGTGGGCCAGCTGGGAAGGGCTGAAGACCCCCCAGCCTCTGCCCCGAACCATCAGGTCAGCCTGAGTACCTTTGCATCAAGACATTTGAAACCAGCAGCGTGCCCCGGCTGTGCCCATGCTTGTGGACCTGGCGACGTGGGTGCCAGTCAGCCAGCAGACAGAAGACCTTCCATCCCCACTGCACCTGGCAGGCACCTGTCTTTGCACACCAGGGCGCCTCCTGTGGGACATCAGGGGCTCTCATCTGCGGCCAGCCGCGTGATAGGCATCAGCAAGAGCCGGCCTGGGGCCCAGGGGCAGCCCTGGGTGCTCACTGCCTCCAGCATCCCACTGCTTCACAGGCTGCTGCAAGGTGGGGGGCTCCTGTCTGGGCCTCACCTGTGTCGGCCCGCGGTCTTACAGGAGCTCGAGGTGCACAGAGCCCTGGGAGCCTGTCTGTGGTGATCTCACTGTGGCTGGAGTTCTTGTCCATCTTGGCCTTGCCACAGACTCTGCGAATGTTGGCACACCCCTGTTCCCCTGACCTTTCCCACTGCCCAGCGAAGTGATTCCGTGCACCTCTCACGGGGTCTCTTCCCCGCCTTGTGTGCCCCACACCTGTCCCTGTCACCGCCCGCCCAGCACCATCTGGGAGGATCTGCTGCATGTGACGTCTCCTTGAAGGCTGATGGGTCCCCCGTCCCCACAGGCAGCCTGCCCCACTGCTCTGAGCTCCTCCTCCCCAGGGCTCCCGGCACGAGTCATGGCATATCTCCTGAGAGCCTGACGTGACTTCAGCACCGCTGGTGTCTCCTGTTCAATAGATGACACACCAAAAAAGAAGGTGGCCAGCATTTTCAGGCCCCCCTCCCCAGACGTGCTCGCGTACCTGGACTTCAGCGTGTCGACCACAGGCGTGTTGGCAGGTGTGAAGGTGGGTCCTCTGACCATGGCTCCTGCCCACCCCGACACGGAGGGCAGACAGGATGCTGGATACAGGCCTGGCTCCAGAGCTGGAAGCAACAGTATTGTCCTATAAGTATGTGTTGAATACCAGTTAACCCCAAAAGTAGATTAGCCTGGAAGTAATGCATACTCTGATGTTCAATGATAATGTCTAGACCTTCTGACTTATGACTGGCCTCGAGGAGCAGACAGCTGTGATACCTCCTTACCAGGAGCCCGGAGCTCTGTTAAAATTATTCATGATGCTGAAATCACATTGAGAAGATCATTAATGTGCCATTTCCTGGGTGTTATTTGGTTTATATGGGAGGTTGACCAGCCGTGCTTTAAGGAAGCAATACTGTTTGGCTGCTGTGGACAGCAGCCCTGCAACTAACCCTCTTCCTTCACATCACTGAACAGAAGTGTTTTACTCCCTAAGATGTCGCATGCAGCTACCAGTGCCTTGTGCCGCTCCCTCAAGCTGCAGTGTGAGCTGTACCCCTCGAGGCAGATCGCCATCTGCCTGGATCCCTACTGTGGCCTCGGCTTTGCCCTGTGGTGTCTGTGCAGGTGAGTGGGGGAGGGTGGAGGTGGAGGTGGGAGTGGGTGCAGGTACCTCTGCACACCTCCTGGGTTGGGATTGCTCTGAGGCTCTGTAGAACCATAGCATCCTAAGACATTTTGGATGTCTGGAAACCACGATACACGTGTGAGGTAGGTTGGAGTCTGGGTCTAAAACTGAGTAGAGATACATTTTTCATTACCTATGAACACGATCCATTGCTTATAATTGAGAAGAGGCTACTTAATCCCATCAGATAGCCAGCAGTGAGCCATCTTTGGACCTACCCAGCAGGCTGTGTCCTTCTGAAGTGCTTGGAGGGAGCCCAGGACCCCCACCCCCAGCATGTTCCTACAGAAACTGTGGGGTCACAGGGCACAGTGGTGGCCTGATGTGGCGAGCAAAGAAGCGAGGCATCTGGGGGTGCGTGTGTGGGGCGGCAGCGTGCCCCAACGGCCTGACCCTCCACCTCGGCCCTCCCGGGCCCTCGCAGTGTCTACGCAGGACACCAGTCTGTGCTGGTGCCGCCGCTGGAGCTGGAGAGTAATGTGTCCCTGTGGTTATCGGCCGTCAGCCAGTTCAAGGCCCGGGTCGCCTTCTGCTCTTACTCAGTGATGGAGATGTGCACCAAGGGCCTGGGTGCGCAGACCAGCGTCCTCAGGGTGAGTGTGCGTCCGTCCGCCCCGCTGCTCTGGCCCCTCCTCAGAAGTACCCGGACGTGAGGGGCCCAAGGGACTCCCAAGACCTCTGCAGGCAGTCAGCAGAAACAAAACCTTGTCCAAGCTGAGCCACACCTGCTCATGTCCCCTCTTCCGTTATCCACCCTGCTGTGACCCCTCACAGCACCCCACCTGCCCCTGGGGAGGCGCTTCCCTTGACGTGCACACCCCATGTGGTGGGAGAGGAGGATGTGGGGTGGGTGGGGCGGGGGCTGCCGACCCCCCTCCAAGTGCACTTTGGGGTCTGAGGTTTCAGGGGCCCTGGGGGCCTGGGCCGGAGCTGTAAGAGCTGCATGCTGGAGGGCAGGTGTCGAGCCGGCATGGATGGGCACCCTCTGTTGCCCTGTGCTCAGAACCAAGGCTGGAGAGGTGGGATTGCATTCTGCTTGGGCTCTCAGGGCCTGGCCTCCCTCTCCTCTTGCAGATGAAGGGGGTTAACCTGTCATGTGTTCGCACATGCATGGTGGTCGCCGAGGAGCGGCCCAGGATCGCGCTGACGCAGTCCTTCTCCAAGCTGTTCAAGGACCTGGGCCTGCCGGCGCGCGCCGTAAGCACCACATTTGGGTGCAGGGTCAACATGGCCATCTGCCTGCAGGTGAGGCAGTGGTCGGCTCCTGAGTCCTTCACATGTGAGTGGTTGAGCGGCTGCACCCGTCTCTCATGTGCTGAGCCTTTTATGTTTCATTTCCAAATAGAAGTTTATCTTTGAGAGCTATGAAGGTTTTATTTTAAAAGCTATTCTATTCTTGTTGAACAAAGGCTGTCTTGGAAAAAAACAAAATTGTTCTTGAAGGGTGACTGTTATCTTACCTGGAAAAATCTAAGTTGGATACAACATGCAGCTAGTTTTTTAAAGTAAGAATAAGCTTATTATTTTAAGAAACCAAGCAATTTTAAATTGAAATATTAATTATGTGATAATTTTTATTGCCCCAAGTTCATTTTTGAAAGATTAAGGTATTTTACTTACTAAAAGGAAACAAAGTTTCAGAAATTGAGCGCTTACTGCGTGAGTTCAGTGCTGCCTCAGATGACTGGCCACTTCCCAGAGTTTGCACTGATACTCTATTTCCCAGCTTTCTAAACACCACACTGAAGGCCTTACTCATCCACGCCATCCAGACATTGTTGGGAGGAAACGGCACGGGGACCAGAGCAAGGCCCAGCCGGGCTGTTTCCCGGTTTCCAGAGCCTTGCCCAGCTTTGGTGCCCCTCCCCCTGGCAGGCGCAGGGCAGGCCTCGGCAGCAGAGGCTGCCGTCCTGTTCACCCAGAGTTCCCGCCAATCCCTGTGAGCACAGGGAGGCTCTGCTGACCTCTCCAAGCTTCCAGCCCTCGCCGAGTGGCAGGAGTAGGTGACGTCCCCTCCTAACTCTCTTTCTGTTGTAAAAAATGCAACTGAGCCTCTTGCCAGGCCGCCAGTTGGTGGCTGTGAGACCTTGCTGCCTCCCCAGCATCTGGAAGCCCACGTCTCCCCAGCGTGATACTCGGAGGTGTGCGTTCTGTTGGTTGGCATGATCTTAATGGGCTGTTCAAGTCTGTGCTATGAGACGAAGGGACGCGCACTGCTCTCTCTTACTGTGTGTCTCTCGTGTGGCCACTGCTTTCTGTGCCCCCCGTGGCCGTCTTCCTCCCTGTCTCGCTCTGCTGGCCTCCTTGGCCTCTGCCAGCCCAGCAGGCTGGGAAAGCTGGCTGAGCAGGTACGACATTGCTTCTACCTTGAGGTGCCTCTGTGTTCCCATGAGTTCATGTGGCCTTCCTGTAAATGCCAGACAAATGTGTTTATTTTGCTGTCTGATTTTGCCCCGCCGTGTATATTGTTCGACATAGCACAGAAACTCCTTTCTAATTAGAGCAAAACCATTTTCAGAAGAGTGTGACCCCGAAAGCCTCGCCTCTGGAGGAAGGGTGGTGTTCGGTGTCAGTGAAGGTTTTGTTCTCGTTCCAGGGCAGGTGTAGGTTATGTTGTCTGGGATCTCAGAGACGGACACCGAGCAGCGTGTCCGTTTAAGTTCATGTTCCTTATCTAAATAATGGAACATAATGTCCTTTAATGAGGATCATCCTCAAGTTTCAGGTGAGAGGAGAGAAAAGTGAGGGTGTCATCAGGCTCCCCTCGGCTCCAGCCGGCGAGAGGCCAGCCCCCCAGAACCATGTGGTGTTTTCACATGGCGTAGAGCGGAGAGGCCAATCGGGGGCAAAAGCTATCAGACTGGAATGGACCCTGTGGCAGGTGACGCTCCCATCAGTGTCACTGTGTGTCTCGCTCTGTTTCCAAGCCGGGTGACGTTTGAGTCGAAGGAGAGTTCCCCAGGGCCCGTCACTGTGGGAGCAGAGTGGCTGCCTTGCTGACGTCCCCGGAGTATTGCCACATGCTGTGCCTGTGCAGGTGCAGACACGGCCTGAGAATGAGGTGAAGGGGGGTTCCTCTGACTCTCTCCTTCAGGGCACAGCCGGCCCGGACCCCACGACCGTCTACGTGGACATGAGGGCACTGCGCCACGACAGGTAACACTATCCACTCCAGGGCCTCCGGTGGGGCCTGCTGCGACCAGACCCTCCCGCATCCTCATGGTGGTGGACAGCTGGCCGGGGCAGGAGCCTGCCCACGGGTGCCTGAGCTTCCCGCCTGCCTCACGGTGTCCTCCCAGCTCTGTCCCATGACCGAGAAGGGCGAGTGACCCAGAATGCAACTGTAGCTTTTTATGGGGTAGAAGACCCCATAATGGCAAGGGTGTTTTTTAATACTATTTTAAGACAGGACTTAGTTTTGCATCAGTAAATGTGTGCTGGGGACCAGGCGTGTGCAGGCACACCTGAGACATTGCGGGTTCCGCTCCAGACCACTGAAGGAGAGCGAGTGCCGCAGTAAAGTGAGCCACAGGAGAGTTTTAGTTTCTCAGTGCATGTAACAATTATGTTTACATTACACTGCAGTCTGTCCAATGTGCAACATCCTTTCTGAAAAATAATGGACATCACCTTCATTGGAAAACGCTCTGTTGCTAAAAAATGCTCACCATCATCTCGGCCTTCAGCAAGTTGTAACCGCTCATCACAGACACCATGACAAATAAAATAATAATGAAAAAATTGAAATAGTGCAAGAATTACTGAAATGTGACACAGAGACATTAAGTGAGCAAATGCTCTTGGAGGAATAGCACTGACAGACTTTCTCAATACAGGGTTGCTACGCCCTTGAGTTTGTTAGAAAATGCAACATCTGCAAAGCGCAACAGCATGAAGCATGGGGGACGGGGTGCGCCTGAGCCCGGGGCTCTGGCCTGCAGACAGTGGGGGGCTTACAGGGATGGGGCCGGCTGACCCCAGGAGGGCCCCACGGAAACCTGGAGCTCCTGCCCTGTGTGCAGCAGGTGGGCCCAGCAGGGAGAGCAGAGCAGGTGGTCACTGCTCCAGGGTCACAGTAAGGTCATGAACAAAGGCTGAAGACTGGGCTACTGTTGACAGGCTGGTCTCACAGTGATGATCAATTTCTGGTTGCCTTATGAGTTGCTTTTGTAAAGATTGCTCTTTGTGTGGTAAATTTTATTCTGAAACTTTTCCCTTGTAATTTTTAGGGTACGTTTGGTAGAACGGGGTTCTCCGCATAGTCTGCCGTTGACGGAGTCTGGAAAGGTAGGGGAAGCCAGGACCTGTGTCTCTGTCTGTCGCGTGTCAGTCCTTGGAAGGTGCTGGAAACCGACGTTCCGGGGCATGCAGATCGGCTGTGGTCAGGGCTGGGCTGGTGCAGGAGGCTCCTCTCCTCACAGAAGCACATACAAGTACTAGGCTAGTAGGTCTTCAGACACACATCTGAGCTCAGAACTGAAGATGGAAGGACTTAGGGTGCAGAAGCCCAGAAGGAGCTCCTGTCTGGACCTCAGGGCCACAGGGCTGGGGCCAGTGCCTCCACACTGTCCGGAGAAAGGTGTCCTCAGAACCAGGGGTGGTTTGAAGGGGGAGGAAGCCCACCGACCCAAGCGGGCAGTGTGATGAGGGGGTGGACGTCACTATGTGCCATGGCTCTGTGCCAGGAGACAGCAGGGTGCAGGGCAGAGCCATGTGCCCAGCATGGCCAGCAGCAGGCAGCACCCAGCCCCGGCCTCGCGCAGCTGCTTTGTGTTCCTGTTCAGCTGAGGGCCCGTCTCTGCACTGCACCATTCTAGAGTCAAGAAATGGAGATTGTACAGCCCGTGCAGCCTGAACAGCCACGCGCCTCTGTACACACCCCCGTGGCCACTTCTGCTGTTAGGGAGGCAGCAGGGTGAGCCCCTGGCGTCTGTGACAGGACAAGTGAGGAGGAGCCGTGTGCCTGCCATGGTGGCTGGGCCGTCTCCTGAGCCAATGCAAAGGTCCTGGGCTGGGAGTCACCGCAAGCCTTGTGGCTGGAGTAGAGTTGGGGCAGAGGAGCAGGAACAAGTGAGTGACCCACAGGCAGGCAGAGCACCCGAGGGGGTCAAGGCGTGCTTAGACTCCAGGGAGGGTGCGTGGTGGCAGCAGGGCGGGGCTGTGCCCCCCCATCTCTGTCAGAGCCCCCACGGAGACGCGCCCCGTCTGCAGACCACCTGCTCCGCACCGTTCCGCCTTACCCTCTTCTAAGCTTCGCGTGTTTCCCCCTGACAAACCTTGGAACAGCCCTCTTCTGTGAAGCATCTGCACCCAGTCGCAGGCTCCCCCAGGGTCGTTCTCACCACCCCTTTCTGGTCGGTCTTCCTTCTCTTGTATTTTGCTGTTAGAGTGACTTAGGCCTGGTGGATCTGTTTTCTGGAAGGAGAGCTCTGGCTTCAGGGCTTAGGTGGGCCGCTGCCGGAGAGGTGGGAGGCTCCAGCAGCACCCGGGAAATGCAGGTGGTCCTACAAGGACAGCACAACAGTGGGGAGAGGCGAGGGCCTGAGGCCAGCCCCGGGCAACAGCCTGCATTCTCCCGTGCCTCCCGTCCCTTCCTCCCACCTGCCTGGAGGTCCCCTGTTGTCTCCTGTTTCATCCAGTCCAGAGCAGCCAGGTTTGACCCGAGCCCAGTGAAGGTCCCCCAGGACCGGGTGAGGGGTGGTCCCTTGAGCCAGTGCCGCCTCCTGTCTTGACTGGGTACAGAGCAGGTGATCAGCGGTGGTTCTGATTCTGAGCTGCAGGATAGGGGTTCCATCACCAGTCGCAGGGCTCGGAGGCCTAGTGGGGCCCTGCAGGGCCAGGCTAGGGCACAGCCAAGTGGTGGTGCTTCCAAGGGGGCTGGTCATCCTCGTGGGCCTTGGTGAGAGACCCCAGGTAGAGCAGACAGTACATGTACCCTTGGTACCCCTTCCACATCCAAAATAAGATCCATTCTTAGGAACTGGAATACTTTTGCTAAGATTCACAATTTCTTTTCACCTGTTAGAGTCTTTTATTTCTGCGAAAATTCAGTCTGATCTAGGTTGGCTGTAGACTCCCTGGTCGCCCCCAGGTGTATGTCGTCACTGGGATCCGCGTCCGAAGCAGGTCTCTTCCAGTGCAGTGGCCTTGGGGGCCTTGTGGCATCTCTGACGTGGTTCTCCTTCCCAGATCCTCCCTGGAGTGAAGGTCATCATTGCGCACACCGAGACCAGGGGGCCCCTCGGAGACTCCCACCTGGGTGAGGTGAGGCCAGGGGCGAGTGTGCCGAGGAGCCTGTGCACCCCAGAGCTGCTCCCTACTCTCCTCCCCTTTCTGCCCCAGCTTGGGGAACGTGAACCCTTTGGGGTCACGCGTGCTTTGGGGGTGTGTCAGAAGTGGTGTGGTCCTTCCTCTGGTGGATGTTCGTGCTCCCAGACCCTAGGGGCCTCATCCCACCAGCAGAAGGAAAATTGGAGTCCAGCAAGAGTGGGAAGGCCTGAGGAGCTGCACATGAGCCGTAGCCCGAGGGGGGCACAGGGCAAACACCGAGGCTGGGAGTGCAGGTCCTCCTCGTCCGCGGGTGGGCAGTGGGAGGGTCCTTGTCAGCTGCGGGTGGGAGGTGGGGGTCCTCGTCGTCTGCAGGTGGAGGTAGTTCTCGTCATGCTCAGGTTGGTGGGGGCGAGTCCTCATAACCCCAGGACACAGGATATGAAGGAAACTTTGTGTTGACCTGTGTGCTTACACACATGTGTCTAGAGTAACTTGGGACAACTATGAACCTGGAGGCTAGGGTGGCAGATGGAGTATAGATCCTGGCCTGAGTGCCCAGGCAAGTCTGTTGCAGTGGAAACAGTCTCATGCTCGCAGTTCCAGGCTCTGGGGATGTGCTGTGGAAACAGGGTCCTGGCAGCAGGTGGGCACAAGGACTGCTGTGGGCTCTGCAGTAGTCAGCTTTTTGGGTCCCAGCAGGCAGGATGCACGTCATCACGCAGATGCTGCCCAGTCTCTGTCCATCCAGACAAGAATGTGAGCAAGCCTGGGAGCCTCTTTGGGGTTGCTCAGCATCCTACATGGAGAGTGTCCTGTCCAGGGCTGGATGCGGCCAGCATGGTTCTCCCCCTTCCTAGCCAGCTAGACCCAGCTGGCCACGGCACCAGTGTGCCCCTGTGTGTCAGGGTCTGTGCCTGGCTGGGAACCCACCTCTGGTGGCAGAGGACCCTGTTGTCTGGACAGTCCCTGTTTAGAAGTACATCCCCCAGGCCCATGAGGCTCTAGATATCGTGAGCATGTGGGCGGTCCCCAAGTGTGCTTGGATGCTGGTGAATTCCGCACATCTTGGGAGAGTCTGCAGTCCCTGCATGCATGTGCAGATGGCGCCTAGCTCCCCCTCCTCTTTAGCAGTAGGCTGCTGGGAGAAATGGGTGCCTCTGAGCTCATCCATGTTGCTTCTGAGTCAAAGGTGAGAAACGTCCCACTTGTATGAGAGGTGGTCTGCCTGCTGCCCGTGCTTCCTCCTACCGGTCAACTAGTCAGGAGGTCCTGAGCAGCCCCCAGCTCTGTTCAGTGTTCTAAAGCGTACTGGCAAGCAGGTGCCTCGTCACTGAGTCTGTGCTCAGCACCCATGATGCGCCAACATTCTTGTCCTCTGGGCCCCACCAGATCTGGGTGAACAGCCCCCACAATGCCACTGGGTACTACACGGTCTATGGGGAGGAGGGGCTGCACGCCGACCACTTCAGTGCCCGGCTGAGTTTTGGAGACACCCAGACCATTTGGGCGAGGACTGGCTACCTCGGCTTCCTTCGGAGAACGGAGCTCACAGATGCCAGTGGAGGTGAGTCGTGATAGTAACCCCGCTTTGCCAGCCCGGCAGAGGCTGGCCAGTGCATCCCCTGCACCTCACATGTACATGTGGCATCTCGGGTTTCCTGCTGACGCCCTCACCTCTTGCTATGATCTTGTATCCTTCGGTGTGGGGTGGAGGACATGCTCTGACAGTGGTTTTCTCTGAAAATTACCATTTTTCTCTCAGGCTGTCCCTCACTGTCCTTCGGCCCTCGGCCTCTGCTGAGGATGTGGGACATCGGCAGTCGGCCAACAGGCCCTCCCAGACAGAGCTGCCGACCCCTTCCCACCATGTGCGGCTCCCTCCCTACCCACACACAACCCCTCAAGCTCTGAGGCCCGCGGCAGGCCAGCTAGGCTGCCATGACTTCTAGCAGTCCCTGTAAATACTGTTTTGTTTCCAGTGATAGTAAAAATTAAAGCATGTATTCACACACTGACATAGCTTTTCTGAGGTGGTTACTGGCAGCAGAGATGTGGTCACATGGAATCGAAGTGACAGGCACCTGGCAGGAGGCTGTCACCTTGTGATGTTGGCATAGTTAGCTCCCTGTCCTGGCAAGAGCCAGCTCGGGCTGACGGATGTGTGGAGGGGCCCAGATCCTACTGTGTGCCTTTCTGAGGTGTGCCAGTTGTACCGTCCACAGAGCGACACGACGCGCTGTATGTCGTCGGGTCTCTGGATGAGACGCTAGAGCTGAGAGGCATGCGCTACCATCCCATTGACATCGAGACGTCCGTGACCCGCGCCCACCGGAGCATCGCTGAGTGGTAGGAGCCCCACCCGCCCGCCCTCCCGCTGGGGCAGAGCCTCTCCGCCGTGGGTGCGGCCCCGGGCCCAGGGCTTCTGTCCCTCCAGACTGGCTCTGTGGGATGGCCAGAGACCCCTTACTCCCTCTGTCTGGCTTTTGCTTGGTTTTCCTCTTTTTCTGATTAGTTTTAAGCCAAGAGTCTGAGCCTGAGTGCACGGGCCAGACGTGAGACCCCGGCCGCCCTGATGTTTCTGCCTCAGGGCGAGCTTCCTTCTTTAAGCGGCTGTGGCTCATGGTGCCTTCCCTTGGTGGGGTGCTTGCCCTGGGCAGGTGCCGCTTTCACGCCACATAAGACTTGCATCTCTGCGAGAGCCTCAGTAGACAGCTGTTCTTGTTAAACACTTCGCCTGCCCAAGGTGGGAAGTCTCCTCGCTGCTCCCCCTTGGGCACCGCTCCCTCATGTCCGCTTGTTGGGGAGCCTGTGCCCGCCCCCAGGTGACACCGTCTGTCCTCCCCTGCAGTGCCGTGTTCACCTGGGCCAACCTGCTGGTGGTGGTGGTGGAGTTGGCGGGGCTGGAGCAGGACGCCCTGGACCTCGTGGCCCTGGTGACCAGTGTGGTGCTGGAAGAGCACCACCTGGTTGTGGGTGTGGTGGTCATTGTGGACTCGGGTGTGATCCCCATCAACTCCCGGGGCGAAAAGCAGCGCAGGCACCTGCGTGACGGCTTCCTGGCTGACCAGCTGGACCCCATCTATGTCGCCTACAACATGTGAGCACCGCTCACCAACCTTGCTCCTGAGGCAGCGCCACCCCGGCCGCCAGGCGTTAGGGCATCGGAGGTACGGGGCCGCCAGAAGTGGGGCTCCAGTCTTCACAGGACGCTGCACCCCTTCCTCTCCTTCCACAGGTCCGTCTCAAAGTTCCCCAAACCTCATTTTAGAATCCACTTCCTGAATTACTTGGAGAAATGTTCTAGTCTTCAAGGACATTTGCAAAATTGCTCATGTCAGTATTTCAACAGATGGTGCCTGGGAAAGGGAAGCCTGCATGGGCTCTGCAGGCTCACCCTCTGCTGCACCGCAAGTTTGCACTTGTTCAAGGATAAAAATGTAGTTCTTGATTTTAAAAAATTCAATTATTTATTCCCACTTCAAATGACCAGTTCATATATAGAATTTATGTGAGAATGAACTTGAGGCCCCAGGATACGTGCTCCACTTCCACTTCACGGGGAGGAGCTGAGCTCAGGAAGTCTGAGGAAGGGCAGCGTGCCCAGTTGGCCGCCCCGCTCCCAGACTGAGACCATGGAGGTCATCACACATGTGCCACTTCCTCTCTGCCATTTCTTTCCTGAAACAGACATGCCCAGCTATCTACATACATCGTCACTGATACTGGACAAGTGCCATTTGGGGTTGTCCAGTTAGATGCTGTGTTTTGGAGAGGGAAACCAGCATTGATTCTAAACCGCTTTCCTGGGGTTATAGCTTCATGCCGTTAAGTGCTCATTTTCATGATGCCACAGTGTGATTCTTCTCAGTACATGGCAGCGTACTGAACTGTTATTTGCGTTCTGAGTGAACAGATTTGGAGACTGGCAGCAGGGTCTGAGATCCTAGTGTCCTCGGTGCTGTTTGCTAGCACTCTACAGTGAGGTGAAGAGCCGGGGACGTGGCTGAGGGGGGCATGGTCACCCATACCCTGACTTTTGCATTTTGAGTTGTGTGCCTATAAAATTCAGCCAAACCGTACTTGGTTATTTCATTCAAGTTTGACTGAGCCGAGTGATCTGACATTACAGTAAATGTGAATCGGAGACCAGAAGGCAAAATCCCTTAGATACTTAAGAATTTGAAGTGAAGCTTGAATCTAAGACAGATTATTTTTGTATAGCTAATAAAGAGTATGTTATGATGGTGTTGGGTTTTGGGGTCATGGAGGTGGGAAAGTGTATGGACTATGCCATGTTTTCTGGAGCTAGCCTGGGTCAGTGCCTGACAAGCTGTTACCAGTTCTCTACCGTTTAAATCCTCCCCCACCTAGGGCTGGCTGCCCGCCCACTGTCCCATCTCACTCTTAATTGGCTACCAGCAGCATATGCGTAGTCGCTCTGTTTGCCTCTGGTGTTGAACTGTAGTATAATACATCATAACATACTGGAATTCTAATAATCCTGTTGTAATTATGTACATACTATGTAATTTATTGTTGGACATACAGAGGTTCTAGCAGTGGACTAATGGACATTCCTTAGAAAGGAATGACCAGCCAGGGAAAGAACTACCTAACCGTAATCTTAATGTAGTTTTATAGCAAATATTGTAAAATTTTGTATGGAAAGGTCAGTGGCAGTAGACAAGGTGTCTTGTAAATTAAGATTTAAAGCACATTAAAATGTTTTAAAATTACCCTCTGGGAATTCTGTATATCACACTAATTTTTTTTACATTATTATATTAATAAAAGGTGTTGACTTTGTAATTCTGCATTTTTAAATGTGTGAAGAGGTTTTTAGAATTATCCCAAATAGGATGTTTTTTATTATGCATTCCTTTTTTCTGAATATTAAAGTACTTATGCATACAGCATAAACCTAAAAAACACATTAAAGTGTAAAGAAGAAAATAAATACCTCCAATCGTCCTACATCTGAGTAATAGCAGCAATAGTTTTTAATGTAAATCTTCTCAAGGATTTTTTCCTTTTAAAAATTTTTATAAACTTAGAATCATATAGTTTTATGACCAGCTTTTATACTTAATAAATCACAGACTTTTTACTCTGTTACACACACTCTCCTACATGACGTATGTGACAGCCCCCACGCAGGCACGCCGTGACCAGGATGGCTTTGCCCCCCTACCGCGCCCCGGCCTTTCTCGGTACCTCGGCGGGTCCCTGCAGGAGGACTTCACGCCCTCTGGGGGCCGCCCCTCTCCGGAGGGCGGAAGGGCGGTGTGGGCGTGGCCTCACCCCGCAGCTGGCAGTGCGGGCAGCGGACTCTCGCTCAGGACTGAAACAGGTCCCTGCCAGATTGATAGTCAGATACAAGATATGTCTAGTCGTGTCGAGTATGTGTTACGTGTTTGTGGCCATTGTCATCACCTATTTGGTGCATCCTGTTCGGATTTGACGGTCCCTGCTGTGCTTCATGCTTGAGAAGGATTTGTCAGAGCCCTTTTATTAAGAATCATGATCTCTGTAGAGTCCCTACATTTCCTGTTGGCTCTTTTGTATCTTGATTCCATTTGTTTTAATGCAGGTTGTTTCTCGAATGTTCTAATTATTTTATGAAAGCTGTGGTTACTTGCGCTTAGTTTCACATTATGCAAGCTGATTTGTTTCAAAGTCTACTAGGATGGTCAGCATGACCCCATGGGGATTTCCAAGCAGAGAAATAACTTCCTCTGAGTCCGCCCCCCAGGCCCTCCAGGCTGTTCTTAAAGGAAGGACAGAAACTGCTGGTGTCTGTGTGTCTGCTGTCAGGGTGTATTGTCAGTGAATCATGCACACATTACCTTGCTATTTACAAAAAGAGAAAGCAGCCTTCTCTTTCTTTATGAGGTCGATTAACGTTTAAGTTTTGGGTCTTAATGGTTTAAGGAAGAAACACTATCTCTTTAAATTGGATACAGTTACAGTATTATACAAAGTGTAGCTTTCATTCTCTTTTGCTCAATGTTCAATCTCAGTGATGGAGAATTCCTTTAAAAAGTAACTACAGTTGACCCTTGAACAGTGTGGGGGTCAGGGGCACCAATCCCCCATGAAGTTGAAAATGCCTGTATAACTTCTGATGCCCCCAAAACTTAACTACTAATAGCCTACTGTTGACCAGAAGCCTTACCATAGCATAAACGATTGACACATTTTGTATGTGTCTTATATACTGTATTCTTACAGTAAAGTAAGCTAGAGAAAAGAAAATATTTTTTCAAATTGTCTCAAATCTCCAAAAAACTTTTCTAGTATATTTACTGGAAAAACCTGCATGTAAGTGGACCTACACAGTTCAAACCTGTGCTGTTCAAGGGTCAACCATACATGCCAATTTTCAAAACCACTGTTTTCCATTTTTGCTTGTTAGTATATAACTTGGGTTAACGAGGGATGATCTGAAAGTCATCCATGCCAGTGGCTGGGCCATCCTGCCCTGCAGCCACACTCCCAACCCAGTCAGGCTCACGCCCTCCCGCTTCCTGGTCTCCCTACACGTCCAGCTGTCTATTTCGGGGTTTTGTGAGGGAAGCGTTTTAGGTGAGCCTGGGAAACGTTTTGGAGGGGTCATTGTAGAGTTTGTCAAAGGCTATGCAAGTGGGCAATTGAGAGGTTATTATTAATTTTAAGTGCCCATCACTATCAAAGTGACTGAAAAGACCACATATCATGAATGTTCATTAGACGCCACTTAAAAGTCAGAATTGAAAAGGGACCACAAGGGCCCAAATGACCCTTCAGGGGAAGGGGCGGCGCAGGTGCTGTTGGGCGCCCCACCCCAGCAGCAGCACGCCGACTTCCAGGTGGTGTTGCAGGGGTGCCAGGTGGTCGGCAGCAGGATGGAGGCCCCTGTAATTCAAAGGCACAGGGTGTAGCATTTACTTTACATTAAGGGTAGGAAGAAAGATCAGTTTCTGGCATGACAGCCTGAGAGGCAACATGGACATGGTAGCTAGTAAAACTGGTGAAAATTATTTTTTTTAAACCAACCATTTAAAGCCTTTAGAAATGGTCCTAAAGGCATACAGAAAATGAAGAAATATCTATATGGGCAAGTTTAGTAAGAAAAGCAAGAGTCTGTTACTTGACCCAAGAGTGTACCTTCCCTCCAACCTCCCAAATGACCCAGGCAGCAACTCCACTCAAAATGGTGCAGCTAAGAACATGGGCTCCTGCCCTCGGCTGCCTGTTGATGAGAGTGACTTCTGGGTGAGTGCATCTGAGAGGCGGGGGACCTCTCCTTCTGTTGGGGGAGCACTGTGTATTTTCCTATGTTCTTGTCCCCACTGCCACAAAGAATTGAAGGACAGAGACACAGTAGTGAAGTAGAGTAAAAGTTTTATTTAAAGTTACTTAAAGAGAGAAAATGTGCAGGTGTCCTCAGAGAGAAGAGTGCTGACAGATGGGGAAAAGGTTAAAGTAACACACTTAGAAAGTGCTGGTGACCTCAGAGAGAAGCGCGCAGAAAGGTTGAGGGTCTGGGTTTTCATAGGTGATTGAGGATTTTCAGGAAAGCAACTAAGGGCCAGGTGCAGACCAGCCAAATTGCCCCAGAATGATCTTCATCTTTGATAGACATTAAGTTTTTGGGTTTTTTGGTTTTTCAACTTAACACAAGAAATATACTGCTTTAATCCTTTCCAGGATATCAGCTTCTGTCTGGAAGTGTGTCAATCAAGACTGTCTGCCCGGCCTCCGGGGTGGGCTGAGCCACTGTCCATTTGATTAAAATGCAATCTTAACTATAAGATAGACTTCTTCCTGAATAAGCTGGGCCTTTGAGCAGGTGTTAAAGTAAATCTTATAAAGGTATGGCTAATTGACACAGTGAAAACATAGGCTATGGTGAGAGACTTTTCTTTATCTGGGGAGTATTCAAACTTCCAGGCCAAGTTGCTCCTGGCCTTGGAGCTTTATATTTTTAACTGGTTAACTCTATGAGTCCCTTCTAGTGGGCTTACTGGCCTTATTCTCTTTCCACCCCTCATATCTATTTTCCTGCCTAACACTTCCATGCGCTCACTGTATGAAGCCCTACCTTCAGTGAAGTCCAGCTCATCAGAGGGTGGTTCCATGCCAGCAGAGGCATGCTGAGAAGACCTGAGGCTGCTGCCCACCAAGCCACCGAGTGCTCAGCTCCAGAGCAGGGAGGCACTCAGAGGAGTGCCGTTGTTCCCACTCCAGGGCCCGGAACCCTGGCCTGGAGGTCGCCTGCTGTGAGAAGCAAGCTATAGAACAGACAGCTCCCGGCCCTCCCAGGAGTGGACTTCGTCTGCAGCAGAGCATGGACAGGTCCAACCACGAGCGCACTCTCAGAACCACAGAAGTGGTGAACAGCGATTGAGAAGAGATTCATAGATTAATGAAGGTACAGACTGAACTACAGGCCAGCTAGTCTGCAGGAGAATCAGGGAGAGAGACAGCTAGAACAGCTCTCCTGGGATTAGAACACATCTCAAGCACTGACCTCGGAAACCGTGTCATCAATGAACCCTGAATTTGGACTGAATTAGGCTGTAAAGTAATTTATGCCCACAGATCATTGTTGAAAACAATAAAGCAATCAGTGGGCAAGGTGGAGCTTAACAGCTGGTGTGGCAGGGAGACCCCAGAGAGCCCACCCAAAACACCGGCACCCAGGGTAGCACACAGCCAGAGCTGCCTGCACCTCCCTGAGGAACACCACTGGCAGTTTAACACCGGGGGTGAGGGAACAGACCTAAGAGAGAGCAGGGAATGGGACAAGGGTGAGGACACTGTAAAGCCTGCTTAGCCTGCAAAAAAGGCCCAGTTTATTCCTCAACTTAACCTATATGCTGTTCTTCCTCTTCTTCCAGCCCCTTAATTAAGTGACTTTGTAACTAGGACAAGAGACAGGCCTCCAGAGTATAAATGATCACATGCGGATAAAGAATGCTGCGATCCAGAGCAACACAGTCACCTGAACAACCCCATTCTTAAGACAAAACTTCAAAGGAATCATTATTCACCTGTATACATCATGCCTTAGGCGATCTCTAACCAAAGGGCCCCGTAAAACCCCAATCCTAAACCCTAATGTGTGCCTCTTCCCCGAGGTCGCCCACACACCTAAGTGTGTACTGTCTTTTCAGGTCAACTTTTTGCTGCTTAAACCCACTTCTTTCTTGCAACAGAAACAAATGGCACGCACCACCAGTGGTAAGTGTCTTTGTCACTTTGCTATTTTATTCGAGTTTCTAGTCTTAAATTCAGTCTTTTCTCTCTTTCTGTTTTATTTCCCACCAGTAGGGAAGCACGTGCAGGAAGTTCTGAGTAGGGCGGGGCCTGCACTCTCCCGCCCCCTGGGTGACCCGGACGGAACTGCAGCATTTCCATTGTGCTTTTCAGCAGCCTGCCTGAAAAGGTCTTCTTTCTCTGCTTTGGGAAGTTCTCAGAACATAAACTCACTCCATCCAGTGCTCCATGGCTCCCGAAAATTCCAGGGTGGTAGGGATATAATTCCCCCATTGTGCAGATGGAGCAGACACTGGACACCAGGTGACCCTGGCTTTAGGAGCTGGCAGGGGATTTGCCCTATGCCAAGCAGGAGTTCAGTGAATTTCCTATTCTCCCACTGGCCTTTGCTTCCTGCTGCCTGTACAACTGCACAAAGAGCGAGCCACTCTTCCTGGCACTGTGCACTCTGACACTCAGCACTACTCTCATTTTAATTAATTCCCTTCTTACCTGCACTCATTTGACCTGTTTGTGAATCCATTCCCCGTCAGGGTCGTCCGAGTTGC